CTATACCTGGGTGCCCTGTGTATAAACCCACATCCACCCAAAAGCTGGGAGGGAGATGTGAGGGCACGGGGGAGCTCTCACACCAGCAGGAGCTCAATGGTTTCAAGCCAATACCCTCCTCCAGGCACTGTACTGCCTCAGAACACAATAACTGACCCAAGAGCCCCAAAGGTGGGCAAAAAAAATGCTGCTGGCATCCAGAGGCTCTACTGAGGAGAGAAGGGTGGCTAAGGACCCAGGAAGCTGGGCAGAGGCCTGTGACAGGGGAATTTGCAGTGCTGGGGGCTAGAGGGTTTCAGATGTCCCTGTCCTTTCCATGAGCTGTCAGCAGGGCTGCAGCTGTCACCATCCCTGTGCCAGTGAGGATCTGGAGCTCGGGTTACCTTGCACACCTCAGAGGGAATACCAAGAGGGTGATGTGGCTCACACACATTGCAGAGATACCAGCAGGTACCTGGGGGGGCTGAGGTTGAACAGACCCCCTTGGCACCTGAGGAGCAGCAGCACAACTGCTCTGCCCCAGCTCCTCTGCTGCACTGTGGCAAATGTCTGCAGGAACAAGGTGGCTGGAAAGACAGAACCTGCTGGGAACACAGCACAGTGACAGGTGGTAAACCAAAGTGTCCACGGCTCCCAGCCCATGGGGAGGCTCCCCAGAGAGGACAGGGAGAGGAGGTGCAGCCTGGGAGGCAGACACAAGACATCCCTCATGAAATAAAGATGAGCTGCAGGGGAACTGCTCGGTTGGTCGCCAGCAGACTCGAGGCTCTGCTGGAGCTGGTGCTTTAAAAATTAGGAAGAAGAGGAGATGAGTTTCAGGTGGCTAAGAGCAGGCTGGACTACACATCCATCACAGAGCATCTTGTTTGAAGCTGTGGCTTTTGGCAGTGGCACTTGGGCTGTGCTGCTGAGTGTGACCCTCCTCCTGAGCAGAGTTCCAAGTAAAGCAGAAGTCACTGTGTGAGTCAACTGAGCAGGGACAATCAGGACCAACACCTTTGCAACAGGTTGCAAGGAATGGGCCAGCTGAGAATTAAAAATAGAGCCTGTTTGGTTCACGTACACTTAATTTCATATATAACAGAACAAAAAGGAGGTAGAAAATAAAGAATAAATTATTTTCAAACCCAGCTTAATGTGTTTGCCCTTGAACAATTTGGGTCAGTGTAAAACAGCCCTTCACATTCCTGAGGAGAACACTGCTGAATGCCTCCAGGGAAAGAAACCCAGCTCAACCCTGACCCTTCAGTCATTCAGGATGCTCTGTGCAGCCAGGGCAGCAGGAAGGCTCTGCATTTCTAAAGCACAGAGTAATTCTTCCATACAAAAGGCTGCTTAGGAGAAGGAAAATCCCTGACAAACATATTACTGCTCTTTATGCTAGCAGGCAAGATTAATGTTTTATTTATTTGGGAAATGAAAATCTTCCTCAGAAGAATATGTGCTGAGCAATTCTACATCAGAAGTTCTGCCCAGTCACTCTTCTGATAGCACTGCTGAGGAGTTAAGTACCAGCTGTTTCCCAAGAGGTCTGCACTGGTTGTGCTCAACAATTCAGAAATCAAATTTGAAAATGACCGGAAAAGTATCAAAAATGGGGGATGTGGGCAATCTTCATCTCTCTGTTCAAGAACTCTGTCCTTCTGCAGCTTGGGTTATTACAGGACTATTGCCCCAACTCTCCAGTCCATTGAACAATTACACCTTCAAACTGGAACCAGCTACCCACCTGATGGTGATTTTCTCTGTAATTCAGTATCTTGCTCCAGAGATAATTCAGTTTCCTTGGAGCTGAGCTGCTCCTCTAGGAGCTCATTCACTCTAGTGCTCACTCTGGAAACACATGCAATATTCCTCATCAGAAAGTGCAAATTAGTCCCCAACAGTTACCAGTCCAAAAAGAAGAGTTCAGTCTACCCCCAAGACTCAATTTTCTTGCCATTAGCCAGCATCCTTAATCAAAATCTGCTGCATGAAATAGCTTGAACAGGCAGCAAGTGTGGGGGTTTCCATGTTTTCCTTTGGAGGATCCTGTTGCCTTAAAAGCAAGGTCACTGTGAGCTCACTCAGAGCAGAGTGGCCAGGCTGTAATGAGGGAAAATGTCCTAAAAGCAGCGTTGTGCCCCTCCACTTTTTCTGCTTTTTGCTTACCTCTGGCATTCAAGTGACAACCAGGTAACCAAGTCATGACCAAGACAAAAGAGAGAATGAATGTGGCATTTCAGCAAGGCCACAGGGAATGACATCTTCCTTCTTTCAGCCCCCACAGGTAGCTCACTGGAGTAGTTTAGCACATCCGACCACTTGTAGCTTTCTGTGATAAAGTGCAGCTGCTCCAGAGAGGCAGTGTACCAGAAAAAAAAATTGAAATGTTTTGTCTACTGCTTTGATATGACAAAATTATCCAGGTCCCAGCTGGATTTTTCAGATTTATCTTTGATTCTCACAAACTCAGGCACTACTGATTAAGAGGAAGCTGCACAAAGCACAAGTTGTAACTTCTGAAGTCCACAAATGATGGGGATTTACAGCTAAGAGCAAACCATCAAGAACCAAACTGCTCCTCAGTCCTTGGTCTGGTCTGAACTGATACCGCAGAACTGTGTTTTAAACAAGGTATGACAGCAAAAGGCACAGGTTTCTCTTCAGCATAGTCAAAATATTGCATCAGTCTGCAACTACACAGTAGCCACCACTCTGGACAAGCACTTAGGGAAAAGCATTCCCTTCTGCACACTGGCTCAACCTCAGCACATCCCAACAGTGCTTGTGCACAGCCCAGCCTCTGGAGCTGCACTGGCTGCCTGACACAGGCACTGACACCAGAACCCAAAGTGCTCCAGCCGAGGAAGGAATTGCTCTGGAGTGAGGCAGCCCTGCCTGCCCAGCTGTAAATGCTTCTGCACTAGACAGTGTGTACCTGCCACATGCCTCTGAAAACCTTAGCAATGGTTTGCTTTACAATTTCCTTCCTGGAACCTCAGTCACAGGTTTTCAGCCTCCTCCTTTAAAGCAAATTAAGAATAGTTACCTCTAGCATTCACACCAGAGTTTAGTTTTCTTCCTTTGCTGTCACTGGATCTTCAATTTGGATCTTTCAAACCTTGTTAGATGGGCTTTGAGCAGTGTTAAATCCCTCCCTCCCCATGATTTTACACCCCTTTCCTGAAAGGCAGCAACCAGACCCACCTTTATCAGGTAGTTGAACAGGACTGAGACAGCAGCAGAGCGATGCTGAATGTTTGAGCTCTGCTGTTTCCCTAAGACAGTGATTTCTCCTTTGGCTGCTCACTCACACCACCCAGCTGAGCAATGGACAGGACAGTGAGAGACACTGCAGACACCTGGGTGCAACTTCACAGTTTCTTCCCCTAGTATTTCAGACTTTGGAATTAAATAATGTACTTACCCAGCAGCCATGGGACTAATAAACGTCTGACAGCTTCATTCCAGACAAACAGATCCATTCTCTCCCAGGGCAACACAAAATCTAATCAGCATTCTCACCACCTTATTTGACATTTTGCAATATTGAGCTGCCCTAGCAAATGATCCAGATGAAAAACCACCAAACCCTTCCTACTTCACAATCAACCTGATAATCTCCATTAAATGCCTATCATCTCAGCAAGCCAGCAAGTAGTGCTGATGCTTCCAAATGTGGAAAACAAAACAAGAAACAAAGAGCATCAGCTGCAGCCTCTCTTCAATACAGCTTATCATCCCATTCTAGGCTAATTAAAAGCCATCTAATGACTGGGGTAAATCAATCAAAGCTCCAGAGTGATTATATCATCTTTCACTACTAAAGAGTACCTACACGACCAAACCCTAATTTAAGATAACATTTGGCATATCAAAATGTTTTCATCTTTCCTGTGATTTCACAATTTTTCAAGGCACCTCCTTATGCTTTTAGGCTGTAACTCTTTCTCCCTCCCTTTCCCACCTAAATTTATTTCTAAGCTTCCCTCTCTGCAGTCTCAACTCTAGAGATTCAGTATGAGAACACAAGTCACAGAAGGCTCCTGTCCCTGCAGATTCCCTCATGTATTGCACAAGGTATAAAGCCATCAACAGTCAGGAGTGAGCCCTCTGTTCCTCCCAGCACAGGAGCTCAGGAACATCCCAACCAGAGGCAACTGCAGCACAGGGCAGAGATGGAGACAACTCTGCACCAGGAACTGAGCTCCATGTTCCCAGTGACACATGGAAAAGTCTTGTGTCTCACTGCTCTGCATCCACAACACAGACACATCCCAGGTTCCCTTCCCCAGACTGTTGAAGGTCTTGTTCCAACATATCAATAAAACTCATTCTGTGACAAGGAAAACTGTTAAGAAAACTGTCAGGGGTTAAACCACCTCTTTCCAGAGCTATGCAAGAACAACTTTTGCACCATAATCTGAATCCACACATACATATTTGTATTAAAAAACAGAAGAGGCAACACACAAGATAAAAAAGGCTTAAAATCCACTTTAATAATGCATTCCTGTAACATTCCTCAGACAAACTCGAACTTTTTTTAGTGGGACAATTACAGTTTGTGTTCAAACAGTTTACACTAAATGAAAAATCTTGTAGTACTTCTACACAAAAGACAGGCAAGGTTAGGATTATACAAACATTTGTTTCAGTTAAATCTTCAGCATGAGATACAGTATCTTTATCCAATAGATTGTACTTGACTACCAGTAAAAATAAAGAGATACAACACCTTATCAAAAAATCCATCCCAACAAGAACCTCTCAGCCATTCAGGCTGCACAACTGTCAACTACTTTAAAGAAACAAATGGTCCAGATAAAAAGAGTAACTAACAAGTTAGGAGGAAAAAAAAAAAAAGAAAAAAAACAAACATAAAGTCTCCCCCAATTAACTACATGACGGATCATTTGGAGCTATATAAATTTACAAAATCATGGGAGCTGCAAAGTACCCAAATGCTGCCCTAGTTCTCCAGAGACTTCCCTGTGCTCTTAAGCAAGGTTCACTACTCTAAAAAAATGCCAAGACATACGGAAATTTTATCTAATTCAGTCTCATGATTTCAGTTGCAAATAGGAAACCTGGAATGGTCAAGGCATTAGGGTCCTTGCCAGATTTCACCATTACTGAACAACCACGGCAGCCTCCCAGAATCCTTTTTTCACTTTAAAATTAGGAATGCACCACATGAAATCTTCTAAAACCTTTACCAGTCAGACTGCACTCCCCTTGTCCTAGAGTGGCTTTACCAGAACAGGCCCTAATTAGCTATTTTTAAAATCTGTTCCCCTCCTGTCCCCCCAGGTTGAACCCTGTGTGGCCTGCCAAGATGTCTTTCTCTTTGGGGTGTGTACAGGGGATAGCTTAATCCTGTTAGTATCTGCGGCGCTTGTTGGGGCCAAAATCCCCCCCTGGGTTCCCTCTGTTGAAGGCAGGGGGGTTCCCTCCCATGGCTCCCAGGCCTTCCATGGCTCCGCCCTGGCCGAAGCGGTCTGGAGGTGGTGGTGGAGTCTTGTGAGGAGGACGAGTGGAGAGGATGCAGGAAGGAAAACAAGGAACAACAAAGGGCAGTTAAAAGCCATTTGAGTTGATTCAAATTCCACCATACAAACCTTTACCACACCAAAAGCATCCCCATAGTCCCCAAACTGGACCGACAGGACCACTGCAGAACGAAGTCCCTTTTCCCACACAACCTGTAGACAGGCACACTGGGATGGTCTGCACCACCTCACACACCAGTGTCCTGCTGTGGAGCAGGTGAGCCTTCTGAACTCACCTTCCCTTTCCATTCCTGGCTTCACCTTCCCCCCTTAATTTCCTTGTGTGGTACACATTCCCTTAACCTCAACCACTTCGCTGTTCCTACTACTTAAGTACAAAGGCTTATTGCCAAATAAAACTGCTCTTTATGACAAAAAATTATCCGTGACACAGCAGTCACGACACAGCAAGAAGTCTGAGTAGGAAGGTTTGCAGGAAAACTGTTTACTAGAGGGTGAACTTTCAGGACAAACTTTACTATTGCTGCTGCTGTTTCTGCTGGCGACTAGAAGTGCTGGCACTGTGTGGGAGGATCAATCCTCTGTATGACAGAGGCCACAAAAGCCTCAGCCTATTGTAAAGCTCTGCAGTGAAGTTTAAAACTAAATCAAATATAAAAATTTAAAGAAGGCAAACAAGCATAACCTCTGCTGATTCTTTGCTCTTTATCTCCTAAGCAAATTAGCTGAACTCATTTGAGCCAATGAGCACAGGAGATAACTTTGGTTTTAGAACTGGTGATGGACAGAACGCTTCTGAAAGCTTGGCTTTATGCTTACAAGAATCTACTCTCAAAACACTCTCAATTTAACAAAGTGCTTCCCATTATGTGTTCTGAAAAATACCCATAAATTATTGCTAAGATCTAACAAGCATTTTAGCACTAGCTATCCTGGAAGTAAAATATGTAGTTATTTGATTTGGCCCAATCTCCAAAAAGTATCAAGGCAAGATTAACTTCTGAAGATTTCAGCAGGAGTTAAGCAAAGGCCTAAGCAAGATAAAGAAGCTTCAACTTTGGCAGCAATATGCTTAACATTGGAAACACAGTTTGTATTTAAAAGGTGTGCACAAAAAGCAGATGGAGATACATTACCATTCCCATGGCTCCATCAGGTATCATGGCTCCAGGACCAGTTGCAGGAGGTGCAGGAGCTGGGACATTGGTACCACCCATGGCTCCTCTATTGTTCATGCCAATGGTACCTGGAAAAGAAAACTGAGGAATAGTCCTGGCAGACACAGTGACTGGAGTCTGCTCATCACTCCAACACCCTGTAAGCTCCCTGCAGTGCTACATGCAGGGACAGAGTCCCAGTCTATCAACCAGCTTTGCACCAGTAGGTCAAGACAAACTGATCTTGCTTTACAGTATGTTCTGTTTCCTGTCACATGAACACTTCCTGTCACTAGACTGAGAGATTACTTTGAGTTTCTAAATAAGAAGCCGATAAAATGAGATCACTTAAAAAAAAAGGTACAGATTTTGTAATAAAGGAAAGAAACGTGGACAAGAACAAAGAATACTCTTACCTCCCATACCCATCTGTCCCATTCGCATGTCTGGTGGCTCCCTCTGGAAAGACAGACACTCATTTCAGCTGATAATCAGGTTTTAAAAAAAAAAATGTAATTATACAAATTCAAGGGGTTCTGGGGATTTAGTACTGAAAAATGTATAGAAAAGTCATTCCCAGGGTAAATTTCAAAGGAAGATATGAGCTACCTTCACACGATAACTGCTGAATGAACAGGTCTTATTTAAAATATCTCATTCTGAAAGGTTGCTTTTAACAATCATGGCAAAACATCCAGCAGCAAAGCTGCACATGCAGATTTTACCAAAGGTATCTTGACATCTGGACAGAAAGATCTGTGAGTAGCAGTAACACATTAGACAGAATTAGTTTTGCTACTCCCTCAGCGTAGCTAAGAAGCTTTTCCTGTTGAAAGGAATGTAAGCTTACATAAAGACACAGTACTGGGTCACTTGCATTAAAACACCAGTTAGTGAGTTCAATTTCTTTTTGATTAACTGTGTGAGGAACAGTATCATGGGTATCTTTCACCACAAAACTGGGAGCACCCCTCACTGAAGTGAGGAATACTACTTTTCCCACAGTGGTAACTGAAGACAGATTTTACTTCATCAGTGCCACTATTTATCATATGAGGACACTATCATTTGGAGGAATCAGGACTTCTGCTACACAGGGATAATATTCCCACGTTTGGGTCAGTCATGTGGTTTTGAACCATTTGGTTTGACATATATTTAGCTATTTTGCCTAGGGGACAATTTTTCACTAGTATCCATAAACACTTGCTCTCCAGCCGCATTGGTGCTGTTACCCCATCTGGACAGCACTACGGCTGTTCCCACAACAGATAGGGGCTGGGACTGGAAACAAATTGCAAGACAGTTCTTTTCACAGATCTGGAGATACTGTTACTAAAAGGCAGGTTATTCCACATGTTACATTGTAAGAAAATACTGGACCGATTGACTTTTAAGTACAGGCAACTGCCTGCAGCAGCGCCTCAAGTTGGGATCATTTCACCTAAGCATGACTGAGACTGCAGGCTAGGGATATAGCCAGGTGTAGAATCATGACAGGATACTGCTGCAGTACCTCAGGACAGTACATGCTTACTGTCAGAATAAAATGAGGTAGCATGTATTTTTCTCAGCAGCACAACAGCTAGTGAGGGTCCTACATGAACAGCGGGGGGACAGAACTGGGGTATTTATACTTTCCAGGCTAAACTGCATTAGGACTGGAGGGAGCCAATAATTTAGGGTAGAATGCACTAGAGATGTACAGTCCTCCAACCAAGTCAAGAATTCACAGAAAGGGCAAAAATCTAGTGTCAGTGTACAGATGTAATGGAAAGGCAGAAGCACTCCTACCGCATCGGCAAAGTTCCCTTTGAAGCCTTCCTGCTGGCGCCTCATCATCTCTTCCTGCTGCCTTCTCATTTCCTCCTCACGGCGCCTGCGTTCCTCCTCTTGCCTGGAAAAAAGGTCCAAGGATGCTCAGCACAACACACACCAACCACCTGCATCACTGTGTTGCAGTGCTGCCTCATGGATCTTGATTGGAAACTTAGAACTTTAAGAACATTATTTTGCTGATGCTGTAAACTGTGAGGTATCTCATGATGAAAAAAAATGGTTTTGTGCATGGAGACATTTCCAGCACTTTCACTTTAAGGAGCTCATTATAAAACACAACATGAGCACACCTCTGTGTGTGTGTGTGTGTCTTGAGGAGCAGCTGAAGGATCTGGGGATGTTTAGCCTGGAGAAAAGGAGGCTCAGGGGGGAAAACCTTCTTGCTTTCTACAATTCTCTGAAAGGAGGGTGGAGCCAGGTGGAGGTCGGTCTCTTCTCCCAGGTAACAAGTGACAGGGTGAGAGGAAACGGCCCCAAGTTGCACCAGGGAAAATTTGGACTGGTACCAGGAAAAATTTCTTCACCAAAAGGGCTACAAAACATCGGAACAGGCTGCCCAGAAAGTGGTGGAGTCACCAGCCCTGGAGGGATTTAAAAGATGTGTAGATGTGGCACTTCGGGACATGGTTTAGTGGTGGCCTTTGCAGTGTTAGATTTAATTGGACTCAATGATCTTAGAAGTCTTTTCCAACCTAAATGATTCTATAGTTCCACGCACACAGCAGCTCCCAAATGCACGCTGACTACATGCAATATCATACAAGCAAGACAGTTCTCAAGCCCCTTCTATTACACAAGTAACCTGGTAATCTTCCTGGAGCTTCTCAAAATGACCCTGAGACAAGGAAGTGCTGCAATGGAGAGAGAAATCTCCAAGACTAAGTTAATCCTCAAATGAAAATACAGATGCTGGAATGGGATTTCCCAACCTGCAGCACAGAAGCCACCAAATCACTGCACAGATTCTGAATTTTCTACCTGCTTCAGTAAAGGAGCTTTACTTAGACACAGAACTGTAAAGAAGCCAATACTATAATCAATGCAAGAAACTTCTAACTCTTCCATCTCAAACCAACTGTACACTCTCCCTATGAACAAAAAGGCCTAAAGTAACAGCCACACTTTAGGTAGTAATTAAATTGTCACAGGGAACAATTAAGTGCACTGAAGAGGCGTTTCATTCCACTATGGATTCACAGCATTTCATAACCTGCCCCCTTACCTGAGTTCCAACTGTTTACGTTTTTGTACTTCTTGGTTATGCAATTCCTCCATTCTCCTCAGCTCTTCCTGGCGTCTCATTAAGTCTGTGTGACAGTAAAAAACAAAATCAACTCATCTCCCATGCCACCTCATCAGTTCCTGAACTAGAACCATAACACACAAGGGAATAAGGTAACAGTTTCCATCAATACAGTGACATCTCTCACGTTAGGTTCAACAAGGCTCAGTGCCAGGTCCTGTACTTAGGTCACAGCCACTCCATGAAGTGCTTCAGGCTGGGGGCAGAGTGGCTGGAAAGCTGCCCAGCAGGAAAGGACCTGGGCAACAGTCCCTGAATATGAGCCTGTGTGTGCCCAGGTGGGTGAGAAGGCCAATGGCACCCTGGCCTGTACCAACAATAGTGTGCCAGCAGGACCAGGGCAGTGACTGTCCCCTGTACTGGGCACTGGTGAGGCCACATCTCAAATCCTGTGTCCAGTTCTCACTGCAAGAAAGACATTGAGGGGCTGGAGCATGTCCAGAGAAGGGCAACAGAGCTGGGGCATGAGTGAGACGAGGAGCAGCCGAGGGAGCTGGGGGTGTTTAGCCTGAAGAAAAGAAGGTTTGTGGAGACCTTGTTGCTCTACCCCTACATGAAAGGAGGTTAACAGTTGGACTTGATGATCTTTTCCACCTCAGCAATTCTATGATTCCATTCATTTGCTGCTACTATGCTTGGTTACAGGACAAGCAGCTACCCCACAGCTCACCTTCAGTGGGCTCTGGCCAGTGTGCTGAGCTACCTACCCCTGGATGGTGCAGGGCCCTGTCCCCTGTGTTCATCTGTGACCGGTACCTTGCCGCATGAGCATGACTTGGTGCTCGTGGCGAGCCGCTTCCATTTCCATTTCCAGCTTCTCCCGAGCTTCCTTGATGTTGCGATCTACTTGTTCCTGCTGCTGCTTCTCCATTTCTATTAGAGCCTTCCAACGCATGGCATATTCATATTCAAAGCTGCCAGGCTGTGCGAACCGAGGAGGCTGCTCACGCTCCCTGTCAAACAATGAGGAGCCAGTGAACGCTTCAGGAAAGCCAGGGGGAACCAGGAAAGACACATTTGTGCTTCAAATGCCACAGCAGCTCCTTTTAGCGGTTAGCTATGGCTGAGACAGCAGCTTGTCTGCTCCTTGGGAGTCACTGAAAGGAGGAACTTGGGCAGAATCCTCCCGCATGGAAACTGTCCTCCTCCATAACAAGTAATGACACTGCTTTGATAAGACACCAAGGGATTCTGGGTAAAGAGATTTAGAAATACTCTTGAAAGCAACAGCCTTTGCTCCTGCTGCACATCTAATGGACACATCCACTCCACAAACAAACACTGCCCAAAGGTGCATGTTTATTTCTGCAGTATCTGCAGCCCCTGCACCTGGAGCACATGACTATTCCTAATACAGCCTCCCAGTTCCTGAAACTCTCATTTTCCTTACATGAAAAATTTATGAGATCACCTGGTTTTCTAATGCCAACTGCTCAGATCACAAGATTCCTACTTATACTGGGAAGTCTTTAAAGACTGTGGTCTTGTACCTGGATAGCTCTACAATTTCCTAATGCTATTCACATAAATCCTTAAATTTCTAATGTGGGTTCAAATCTGTTTCCTATACAGGTTTTCTGTAATACTTGCCAGGGAATCTCATCTGTGTTATCTTAAATTGACTTAACTTTTTATTACAACTGAAAAGGACTTATGCAAAGTATGTGGAGGCTGCCAGTCTTATCCAGCAGTGTGGATTCACACACCAATGTGTGCTTTCTTTCAGCCAACCAAGAGAACAGTGTATGCAATTCTCTTTCCAAAGCCACATCTACAGAAAAAAAGGAGGACCTCATGAGCACTGATGAGCCACCCTTCTCAGACTGAGGCACTAGTCCACAGGCAGACATATCTCCTGTTGCAAGCCAGGTACATACTTGTGATATTGCTGGTTTTTGATGACTAGTTTCTCTGGTAGTCCCTCTTCATCATCATACTGATCCATGGGCTCCACAGTGACAGGCCGAGGGAATCTGTAAAGAAAAGATGAGGTGCTTCCAAGAAAATTCAAGAATGAGCTTGCAGTTTTGGAAAGTATGTGTACTGTGTCTGAACCTATACTGCTTTTACTACTGCTCAAAGAAACCCAGGGCAGCTGGGGAGCTCAATCAAAGTGAAATCAGAAATTACTTTGAACACCTTTCTTTCATTCTAGAACAGGAACAGAACCTTTAATCTTGTTGAACTGTAAATTCTTGTTGAATCCAAACCAAAATTGTACTGTAAGAATATCTGCAGTTAGTGGTTGAAATTAACAGCTTAACTAGAACCTGACATCCTCCAGCAGGATCTACTCAGCATGATGTCCTGTAGACTCCAACATCTGCTTTTTCTCCCTTGCTACATGGCCAACCACGGGCCACACAAGTCCATCGATGCCTGTTTATGGTTGTCTAAAGCAAAGAGTAACTACACCACTCTCCCTGGAGACTGCAGGCTGTACCATGCAGTCACACTCTCCTGGTGAGACCACCAGCCAGTTGCCAAGCAACAGTGCTCCGAGAGTCCACTGGGCCCTGCCTGAATTCCCACCCCCAAGGAATCCACTGCTGCACTTCGCAAGAGAACTGCACATGTGCTTCTGTCTTTCTGTCTTCTGCATGGAAGCGCCCCCAGGCTCTGAATTAGCTCCCCACCACAGGGCTGACACTGCTCATCCTCAGCCCCATATGCCAGAGCTGGAGAGATGGAAGAGAGATGATCCTGCTATGCCAAGTAACACAGGGTTTCCAGGCTCCAGCAGGAAGGCAGGATATGGGAGGCTAAAATCTCTTTCTTCAGCTAAAGATCCATAATATAGCTTTTCACTTTGACGTGACATATTCCACTATTAACAGTTTTATTTTCCAACATGAACCAATTTCCAGCAGTTTATCTACTGTTACTGCCTTGAACTAGGATAAACCAGAACAAATTTAATCAAAACCAAACCATAACTAGAAATAATCAGACCGGTTTTTGGTCCTAGATATCAGACCCTAATGCACTGATAGCTATATAAGGATTGAATGTTACCCTCAGTTATACTCTGGTAGTGATTAGTTTTGCATGATCACTTTTAAAAATCTCTTTTCATGGTTCTTCCAGGATACAGACTTCTGAATCAGCAAAAGCTCTCTAACAATAATCCTCCTGTAGAGCACTACACACTATGCTGGTCAGCCTTGAAGAGTCTCAGAGAGAAAAACAGGTATTAAAGAAATAAATCAAACCTGCTTTTTGAAACTGAGTGTTCCTGTGCACAGCTGTGCCACTGCATATCCCCAAGAAGTGAGAAGAATTACTTTCAAAATTAGCAATATAGCCCCATTTTGGGAAGTATTCTAGTCAGAAATTCTAGGAGCACACATACAAAATAATTTTTATTTCCAAGAGATCAGAAATGGCTCCCTCTTAACAGTTAGAGAAGTAAACTGAGTGCTCTGTGGAATGCAACTAGAATTGGTCATCTGCTTGAGGAAGTTCACATAACTATGCAAGAACATGCTTTGCTGCCTTATTACATTTCAAGCATGGGCAAAACAAATGGTGAAAACTTCAAACAGTCCCATCTGAGCAGTTTCTCCAACAGATCCCATACCCACAGTGGCATTCCACCCCAGCAGTGCACGCTGCCAAGTGGAGCCCCATCCCAGAGTGACCCAGAGTGTACAATTAACACACTTGAGCTTTGTTTCCAAACAAATGACATGGACGGCCTCTGAAATAGCTCCTGCTTCTTAAAGGCTGCTTTAATTGCCCTAAGAAGGTCGTTTTATGGAGAAAGACTTTATTGGGAAGTTTTATGCACTTACCCCACCAGCAGCTTCCCAGAAGAAAGTTCTCAGACCTGAGTTTCAGCACAGACTGCCTCTTACTGGAACAAAGCTACATAAAGTTCTCCCCAGGCCAATCACCTCGTGCCCCATCTGTCCCACTGTGGTGCAAGGAAACACCACTCACAAGCCCCTGCCACCCAACATGCACACATGCCAGTAGAGCCCCTCCTGCCCTCCACACTTACGTAGTCAGCAGGAAAGACCCATCACTACATCTATCCAGGGCTTTCCTAGCAGCAGGCTTCCCTGAGAACTCCACAATGCCTTTCCCAGAGGATCGTCCTCTGTCATCCACAATAACCACAGCCCTTTCCACCTGGCCAAACACTGAGAAGGCTTCCTCCAGGAGCTCATTGGACACAAACTGGGGCAGGTTCCTGACTGTCAGCGATGCGCTGTGGCACGCAAAGCGCACTCTGAGCTGCTTCCCACGGAGAGGCATGTTGTCGAGTTCCACCTTGGCAATCTCTGCCAGAGTGCGAGTTTCCTGGGGATAAAAACAGTCAGCATTAAAACTCTCAATGTGGCACAGAATCAGTGGGTCACAGTCACAACACAAGCTGATTTCTCTGGAGCAAGTACTTCTGAGAGGAACAAATGATCCTCCCGCAGCACGATAAGAAGTGTCCCAACAAACCAGAGCTATCATCACTGACTCTGGCTGAGTTTGGGGGGGGAAGAAACATAAAAGACATACCTTTAGTCCAACAGCCAGTATGAACTAAGCAAACAATTAAATTATCATTATCTATCACAAATAATTATACAAAGGCTACAAAGTATGGGTTTTTTTAAACAAATACATTTTAAAAAATAATCAAGATTCAACTATCAGCAAAGTCTGATAAGGAACTGCTGACTGTATGACAATCCACGAAGCCCTCCTATGCCAGTTTTACACCTTTCCACTCACTTAAGTCACTACCAAGCACCTGCACTACAGCAAAGTGCCCCAGACTTTGGCATGGGACCCTCATGCTCCATCCACTCACCCTGGGGCTTTCAGGAAGGTGGTGCATGAGCCACAGAAAACTGAGAACCACGACTCTATGCTGGTAGCCACCTCCCTCCTAGACACACTTCAGCGTGATCGTCCGGAGATCCTTTCCCTCAAGAGCATTAATCACTCCAGGAATACTGCATGACAAACTATGTCCATATTCACACTCTTCCAGAAAATGGAAGTTCACTTTGTATATGATAGCACCATGTTCATATGGGTTTTTTTCTGCTTTCTACCAGATGATTCCAGAACAAATAACAAATAACTCATAAGTCCTGCCACGAGCTGCCCAAAATTCACACTTCTCATAACAAGCTCTGGGCAAACCACTTGTAGAAGCTAATCCCATATTCCAGGTTACTAAGATCAACAGCAGGCTTAATTAACAAGATAACTGAACATCTACTACTTTCAATTAGCCACACTGCTCCAGTGTGAGCCACTGCCACAACAACAACTCCAAGGTAGAAGTCACTCACCAGCCTGATAAAACCAAAGCCTTTGTCCTTGTGTATGAAGACTTCCCCTGCCTTGCCATACTTCTCAAATAACTTTCTCATCTCTTCCTCTGTAATATCTGGGGGCAGATTCCCCACAAATAGGCGGCTTCTTTGGGTGAAGGTCTTTTCCCCGGGTTTCCGGAAATTCTTCAGGTCAATAGTCAGGCCTTCATCTGAGGGGAATAAGGTACACAGCTGCTCTACAGTTGGGGGGATAAATTTTATTAGGTTTCATCACAGTGACCACAGAGACACAGGACAATACAGGTAACACCACCCATCCACTTCGCTCTTAAACCTCTCCAGCCATCTCTACAGCAACCAGGGGGTTTTATTTCAAAACGGCCCCACAGTTTTCTTTAAAGAAAACACATCCTTGAACCTCAGGGCTCACTGACAGCAGTGAATGACAGTCTAGAACTGGAAAAAACACCAACACTGCAGCTTGAAATAGCATGAGATATTTCACCCAAACTTTTGGAGATCTGGTCAAGGTAACTGGGACACAACAAAATCAAGTGTAGTCACAATGCAGTGATTAGAATTGGATTGCTATTAGAACCTGAGTAATTACAAAAGAGCCACAGTTTGGCCAGCAGCCAGATTTTTACTCAAAAATACCCCAAAACAAAACTACTCCAAATGTCCAGAAAAATATGAAAACTAGAGGAAATTTTGTCTAAACAGATAATATTTCAGGTAGCTGTCATTCTGTGAGATGGGATTTGGGTTCCAGAGTATGGGGTTCCAAGCTGAAGAGAAGGCTGGAATGGTGAAAATAGTGGAAAAAAACCCCAACCCAAACCCAAACCATCCCAAAAACCAGCCATACAGGTGAGACCTCAGAAAAATTACAAATTAATTATTATTAAGGTTGGAAAAGACCTTTAAGATCGAGCCCAACTTTAAAATGTTTTCTGAGATATCCAACAGTAATCAACACAAATAGGAACATTCTCAAATCCCCACATGCATATACAATCTTTAACCCTTAATTCAGCAAGAGCCCAGCATGACCCTGAAAGTTCTGCTATGTCCCAGACACAGGGGTGCATTTAGCATCACTTTTATCTTCATGTGCCTCATTCTCCTAAAGGCAGATGGAACCTCACCACACAGGACTGCAATGCACAGAAAGCAATTCCTTTGCCTTGCAGAGGACACAGTTCATGGTCACACATAGGAAATAAAAACATGAACATGAAATAAAGCCATATGAAAATGGCTTTATTCAGGCTACAAAACAGGGCACTAACTAGGAAAGACTATCCATGCAAAGACAATGCATGCAAGACACTGCAAGGACAACCCTTTCATAAGAGTGGGCACAAAAAAACCAGAGTATACCTAGAGAAGTGAGAATAAGTTATCTACTTCACACAGCAAAGGTGCATAAGTGAAATGTTTTGCCTTGTGAACTTGTTCACAGCATTATCACAAGTATTTGGGGATCAATTGCAAGGCCTGTGGATACAACAGGAGGGACTTGGAACGGAGTCACACTGCTCTGCCTTAAGCAGATCCACGCAAAGGAGATGCAGTCACTCACTACAAGCTGATCCCTGTGGGAATTCCCCAACACAGCTGTGTTGTATTATTTCAACCTGACTGGAAAAGACTGCGTGGCCACCCTTGTCTATTATTATCGGGGAACCAACAAAGAGCCTGTTCAACAGGACCCCCTAATGAAAACATGGGGGATTTTGACACAAAAACTCCACTCAGACGAACCACAAAAAAGCGCACAGGTGACTTCTACACGTTTTTGTTTTGAATAGCCAGAGTGTCCAGACTTGAAAAAAAAAACCCCAAAACACACCTAATGTAAGTAAAGCACTTTTTCTCCTGAAAATGCTAATGGCAATGCCACGCTGCCTAGTTCCAAACTATCCAGTTCACAAGCATCCTGTCTCGGCTCACAAGCACTCCCCCCTCCGCCAGATCCCGAGGGGCAGAGCTACAGCCCAGACCGAGTGAGAAAACCCGGAAACCCTCGGGAGGAGAACAAGGGCTTCCATCAATGTCAATTGGCCCTAGCACGCGGAAATATCAAGTAAAGCTGGGTATCTCCTGGCTCCTCCCATATATAAAAAAATAAATTAGTCTTAAGGATGCTTGCAACACAATCTCAGCAAAAAGCAAATTAATTTCTCTAGTGATCCTGTCATTTCCTCCAGTAACCTAGTTTCCAAAGTTTCTAGTTTCTTAAGGAAACCAGAACTGAGAAGCCATCTGTTATGGCCGGGGAAAAAAAAAAACAAAACAAAACAGGAACCAGACAACAAAAAACAGACCGCGTTGTATTTGCAAGGTTTTTAACAGGAACACTGTTAAAAAAAACCACGGTGACTTCCAAATTCTAAGCGGGCTCTTCTCGAGACCCTGAGACAAAGAAGGAACCTCTATATCACAGTTACTACGTCCCAAAACTCTCTATCCCAGTGCTGGGCACACGAGAACCTCAGCGAGCGAATCCCCGTCAAACACAGGGGAGCCGCGTGTATCTTTGAGCGCACTGAGCAAAACCAATTAAAAAACCTCACAAACGCAACCCAAGGAGCAACTCAAACCGCTGCTTCCACCAAGGGAAAACACCGCTGTCGCAGGCGGCGCCGCAGCCTGCCCGAGGAGCTGAGTTTTTATTGTTTTAAGGCGAAAAGCCGCGTCCCTTTTGTTCCTGCCCGGGACCTGTTGCGCCGCGCGGGCCGCTCGGATTTCCCCGGCGCAGCGGAGCGGCCGCTCGGCGCGTACCCGTGGCGGGGCCGGGCGGGCCGCCGCGGCGGGCCCGGGACTCACTCTGGCTGTTGGCCTGCTGCCCGTTGGCCGGGATGGACGGCGGCGGGTGCTGCTGGTGCTGCTTGCGCGGCGCGTGGTTCTGCTTCTCCATGTTGAACCCCTTGTTGCCCTGCATCTTCCCCACCTAAAGGGCGACACGCACAGTCAGACTCGGCGGCCGGTGGCTCCCCGCCGGCCCCGCGTGCCAGGGGCGGGGTGGGCCCTGCAGGCCGCGCCGGGCCCCGGCGCCGCCGCGGCGGAGCGGGGCTGAACCGCCACCCCGAGGGCCGACCCCCGGCCGCGCGGCCTCACCTTGCGGCGGCACCGGCCGGGGACGCGGACACGGACACGGACACCGGGACGGGCTCCGCCGCCGGGCGCGGACAGCGGGAGGGGCGCGGGCACCGGGACCGCGGCGGCCCTGAGCGGAGAGCGCGCGGCCGGAACTCGCGCACCCTAGCGCGGCGCCCCGCTCCCCCGCACCCCCACTGGCCGCCGCGCCTGGGAAGCCGCGCCGCTGATTGGTTTCGCTCGCCGTCACTCACTAGCGCGGCAAAGGCTGGGGCGGGACCGGGCGGCCGCGCGCGGCCGCGATTGGCCGGGCCGGGCGGGCGCGCGCGCGCCGCCAATCAGGGCGGCGGGGCAGCCAAGCTCGGGTGAGAGGCGAGCGGGGGACAAAGGGAGCGGCCGCGCGAGCCGCCCCGCGCGAGGCGCGCAGGCGCGGTGCGGGGGCCGCGCGCGTTTAAAGGGCCAGCGGCGGCACCGAGAGGAGCGCGTGCGGCCTCCCCCCCCAACACCCCCGGGAGCGGCACCGGGGCACCCCCGGGGACGGCGATTAAAAACCACCGGCGATTAGAAACCGCCCCGGCGCCCGGCGGAGCCGGCGGGTATCGCTCCGGTCTCCTCGCGGCGCCCGCCAGCCCCGTGCCCGCTCCAGCCGCGGGCGCCCCCTCGGGCTCGGCAGGAGGGTCCCGTCGTGCCCTGCCCCGCCCGGCTCCGGGAGAGCGGTCGTGTCCTGCCTCCAGAGGGATTCATTTCACCGCCTCCCAATGAACCCTCCCGTTCCCCTCCGCCGCGGCCGCGTTGCCTGCGGCTCGCAGCCCTCGAGTGCCCGGTGTCCCGATGTGCACCCTGGTCCCGGCCCACGCTCAGCCCCGGCACCCCCGTGTGTGCCCGCGGGCTGGGAACGGGGGCGGGAAGGGCGGCAGAGCCCTCCGGGGAGGGGGGCGGCCAAAGGGGAGATGCTGCCCCGCTGGGATGGAGGGGAGCCCCCGGGGACGGGCGGGGGTCCGGGGCACAGGGAGAGGGATCCGGGGGGCGGGGGCGGTGCCGAGGGCGGGGGGCGCCGGCCCGGGCGGTCCCTCCTGGGGGCGGTGCCGCGTCCCGGGCCCCCGCGGAAGCCCCGCCCGGCCGCGCTGTCACTCACCGCCCCGGGGAAACGCTCCAGCTTCGGGGAGGCGGTGGCGGCTCCGGGGCTCGGCAGGGCGGGTCCCCCTCGTACAGGTAGAGGCCTTGGCGGTGCGGCCGGGCCAGGCCACCCGGGACAGCACCGGGACCAGGTCCGAGCGAGGCGGCAGCGAGAGGGTTAATGGGGGGGGGGGGGGGGGGGGGGGGGGGGGGGGGGGGCGGGGAGCGAGGTGGCGAACCCGCTCCGCACGATCCGTTCCGTGCTTTGCGGGTGGCCGCGCAGGCACCGGCGGGAACAGGGGCGCCCCGTTCCACCCCACGCACCCCGCCGTGCGACCTCCCCCGCACCCCGCCCTGCCCCACCGGGACCGCGGTCGCCGCCCACGCCCGGCTCCGCGCTGCCCGCCCGCTCGGCTCCGCTCCACCGTTGCGATCCGCCCCAGGTTTTCCGGCCTCCCGGCGCGGTCCGGGCTGGGGCGCCGATCCCGCGCCCGGGATTCCGCTCCGGGTTTCCGCGGCCGCCGCCCGCGAGCGAGTCTCGCGAGCCCAGGCCCCGCCGCGGCCAATGGGAGCGCGTCCCTCGCTCCGCGCAGCCAATGGGGCGCCGCCGCCGCCCCCCCGTCGGGCTGCAGCGCGTTGAGGGCTCCGAGCGGCGCCTCCATTTAAAGGGGCCGCGACCCGAATCCGGGTTCTGGGTAGAGCGGGCGGCGCAGCACCGGGGGGAGCCAGGTACGAGCGGCGGTGGCCGCGGGCGCGTCCCGGCGGCGTCCCGGGAGACGCGGGTGAGGCCGCCTGGTGGAGGGGGGCTGGCGCCTGGGGCGCGGGTATCGGAGGCGGGGGCTCCCCCGCGGTGGGGGGGGGCGGTGTGGGGGGGTGCGCGCGCCTGGCGGGAGGGGGCGTGGCCTGCGGCCCGCGAGGGGGCGTGTCCGGCGCCGCGCGCCCCCTGCCCGTGTCGGCCGCTGGGGGGCGCCCTGGAGCGGGTCCCGGGGGGAGTCGGGGGGGGCCCTGAGGGACCCTCGGCCCGTTTGGGGATCCGGGCTCTGCTCCCCCCGGGATGGGCGGGAACACACCTGCCTGGCCCCCATCCCCGCCTCCGTGCAGCCACGGCCCCCTGGAGACCCGGGTGCCACCCTCGCCGTGGCGGCGGTCCGGCCTGTGGGACCCCCCAGTGTGGGTGGGGAGACCTTGGCTGAACCCCCGCCCCGGTGCGGATCGGACTGTGCACAGGGTGGGGTGGGGGCCTGTGCGACCCTCGCCCCTTTTAGGAGGGGTCTGGGCTCTGCTACCCCCTGGGATGGGTGGGGAACCCACCAGCCTGGCCCCCACCCCAGTGCAGCCCCGACCCCATGGAAGCTCCAGTGCGATCCTCACCTCTGTGGATGGGGGTGGTCTCTGGGTCCCGCCGGGATGGATGGGGACCCCCCAACCTGACCCCCATCCCCACCCCGGTGCAGTGCAGACCCCGTGCGCGGTGCAGGGTGGGAGACCCTGTGCGATCCTCGCACATTTTGTGGGCAAATGGGCTCTGAGTTCCCCTGGTATGAACGGGGAGGCCACCAACCTGACCCCCATCCCTGCCCCAGTTCCATGGAGACCCCAGTTGCAACCCTTGCCCCTGTGTGTGAGGGTGGTCTCTGGGTCCCCCCAGTATGGATGGAGAGGGCCCAGATGAACCTCCATCCCCACTCTGGTACAGAGCAGACCCTGGGGACGGAGGGGCCCTGTGCCATCCTGGACTCTTTTAGGGGAGGGTTTGGGCTCTGCATCCCTCCAGCGAGGCTGGGGAGCCTCCAGCCTGACCCCCGTCCCTGCCTCCAGCCTGACCCCCGTCCCTGCCCCGGTGCTGGTGGGCACAGGGAGGTGCAGGGGGCAGCCCTCGGGGGATTCTGGGGCTTGGCTGTGCCTGGGCACAGGCTGGTCCCAGGGTTTGTGGTTCCTGGGAGCTGCCCCAGCCCCTGGTGTGCCCACCCCTGTGGGGCCTGTCCTTGCTGTGAGGGCTGTGCTGAGCAGTGGCAGCAATCAGCTGCCCCAAAGCTCTACCCTGGCACCCACCATGGCTCGGCTCTCCCTGGGTCTCCAGCAGCCTTTTTGCTCTTGTCACCACACGTAGCAGCAAAGTCTGTGGCGCTCAAGGCAGCTGCTGCTCTGTGAACTGTCCAGCCATCCTGACAGCCTTCCCCCAGTGTCGGTGGGGGGTCTGGAGCCTCTCCAAGGCTCAGGGTGTGTGTGTGTGTCCCTAGGCACCATATGCTGCTGTCGAGGATCTGGCCCCGTGAGAGGAAGGTGCAGCCCCGTGGGGCTGAAGCTGCCTTGGGCTGCCGGGGGAGGCAAAGTCCAAATGTGCTGAAGCCTCACCATGTGAGCAGCGTAGCCGTGGCCAACGAGGTGCCTTAGGGAGCATCAAGCAGCTCCTGTGTGGTTTGCAGTGGTGGAGGCAGGCCTGGCTGGCTCTGCCTGGCATGGGAAAAGGCCCTGGCAGTCAGATATGCTTGTGTGGGCAGAGGCTGGATGTGGCCTGTGTCAGGTGATGGTGGGAGATAGGATTTTCAACAGAGTGCTGGGGAATGGCTCCCGGAATCTCTTGATGAGGATGAGAGCTGCTTCATTTGTGTTCTCCCCTTCTCCTGCTGTGCTTCAGCCATGGCTTTTGTTCTAGGCTGTAACTTCTCTCCCTTTCATTGCGGCTGCAATCCCCAAGAAAACTTTTAATCTGCATTTTCTCACCTAACCCTGCCTATTCTGGGATCAAAGCTGGTGATAAGACCAAAGCCCTATTGTTATTGTGAGCTTAGCCTTACTAAAGGAATATCCACAGCCTACAGAGCTGAAATTACTAACCTGAACCTCACAGCCCCATTGTGCATATTTCCACAACCTCCTTTTCTCTTCACACCTGTTTACATCCCTCTCAACTGCCAGTGCCCTTGCTTTGGAGGATGACAGCAGCACCTCATTCCTCCATGGCTCTGACAGCCGGAGCAAGGGCCCGAGGCTGAGCCCAGGCCTCATTTTGGGAGCAAAGCCCCTGTGGGATTTCTTTATGGATGTTTTGTGGTCAGTGGTGCTGGGATGCATGACCCTGATGGACACAGATGTGCTGGCAAAAGCCTCTAATGCAGAAGGGTTGTGGTGAAAGCAATCCAAGGGAAGTATGGAATAGGCTAAAGCTGTGACAGTGCATTTGTTAGCTTAGCAAAGGCCCTGCTAGCAGGATTTCACTGGCTTGTTTCACTGTGTTGTAGTCTCAGTATAGCATTTTGTGAACTGCTTCCTCTGCTGGCAGCACAGGTGAGGAAACAGTCTGAGACCATCCTCACCATTCCTGCTGGCCGTGGGCTCTGCTGGTGTCTCCTGGCCATTTACTGTGAGCCTGCTCTGCTGGCCTAGCCCTTGGCAGCTCAAAGGAAAAGGAGTCACTCTCTGGACTAGTGAGACTGCTCTGTTCAACACAGCCTTAGCCAGGGCCAGCTTGTACAGCTGAATGTGAGGTGGAGCCTCCCAGCACTGAGATCCCTTTCCAGGGACTTGGTGGCAGGCACCTTGCAGAGGGATCTGGGGCAGAGGAGCACTCACTGTGCATCCAATAGTTGGCTCTGCAAGGCCACTGAAGGAAAATTAGGTGTTTTGCCCTCAAAGATGCATCCTGTTGGTGACTCTGCCCTTTTGTCTTCTCTCTCTTCCCTATGCACTAAGGTGTATTCACAGAATCACAGATGGATTTGGATTGTAAGGGACTCTAGAAGTCTCAAGTCTAGCTGACCTCCTGCTCATGGCAGAGCTCACTTGAGACTGAGTTGTTCAGGGCTTTGTCCAGTTGAGTTTTGAGGACTTCCAGGGCCAGGGAGTCCATGGCCTGTTCCCAGGCTGTGGCATTTTCCTTTGGAGAGCCACCTGCTGTGCCTGCAGCTTCTCTCTCCAGCTGTCTGTAGCTGCTTGTGTGATGTGCCAGGACTTTGTGTCAGGTCGTCTATGTCCTGCAGCATTTGGGCAACAGGTAGAGAGATCTGGGGGCCATCTGTTTTTTACCACTTCCAGGTCTTTTATTTCTTTTAATCAGTGTCTCAATATTCCTAAGGCAGTTTCAACATACTCTGCTCAGGAATGCAGTACACCTCCAAGCCTTTTTTGTTGTGCTTGAGATAGTACTGCCAAAGCCTTTTTACGCTCTCACCCCCTTCTCCTGCATTTAACACTATTTTGGCAGATGTTGTCATGTGGTGAGGGGTGAACCTTGAAAGAAACATTGCTTATTCATGCTATAGACACTAAGCTGGTCCTTGAAGCTGAATTGCTCTGCAGATACCAGGCGTTGCTGCTGTGCGTGTACCTGGATTGTAACTCCTTTCTCTGTTGCAAAGCCTTGACACTTTGTGCTTGTGGGAATCCTGGTCTTACGAGAGGATGTGAGAGGATCCAAGCAGCTTCAAACTGCTGCCAGGATGGCATTCTGGATGGATGAACAGACTCCTGTTGGTTGTCTTAGAGTTTGCTGCTAGTATGGAGGTCTTGGCTTAGCAGCAAGTACCACTGAGATTGAGGAATGTTGTCAGGTACGTTTGAAGTGTGGCAGGGACTCTCCTGGTAAACCTATCTCCAGGCAATTCTTGCAAGATTTCTGAAATTTGTCCTTCTTGCACTTTCTTGAAGCTGAGGTGAAGTTTCTGGAATGCAAGCTCAAAATCTGGTTTGGTCATTCCTGCCTCTGAGGAGACTTGTGGTTGCTGTTCTGCAGCACCATCTCCTCTGTGCTGGAGGATTTGGGCTTTCTGGGTTCTGGGTGATTGCTGTACTATGTTTGAGGCTTGCAATGTGAGCTGGTACTCCTGCTCTGGCAAAGGTAGTGATGGTCTTGGTCCCTTCTGGCTTTGTGGGATTGTTAGAAAACAGTTGCTGGAGTCTTGAGGCTGCTGGTGATATTCTGGGAAAGCCCTTATTTTCCCCATGTGCCAGTTCCTATTGTGTAGACAGTACCAGGCACACGTGAAGGCTGGCCTGGAGGGGGGGCATGGTGAGAGCACTCTAATTAGGAACCAATAGTACATTTGGAGATGAGACAACTGTTCACTGAGCCCTGCCTGCAGAGCACAGGCTGAAGGACTTGACCAGTGACATCCTGCAGTAGCTAAAGCTGGCTCTGAGAGTCACTGAATGCTGCTGTAAAACCTCCAAGTCACAGAGGGCTTACAGATCCTGGGGTCAGTTATTTAACCATCTGTTTCTGAGTTTGTCCAACTTTGATTTCCAGCTTTTTGAGTCCTCATACGGTGCATTTGTCATCTCTAAAGGGTCCTCTGCTGTAGATCTTCCTACCTTGTGATTTTTTTTGAGATGGGTCATGTCTCCCCATTTCTTTTCAGTGAACAAAATAGGTTTATTACTGGAAGGTGTTTTCTGAGCCATGGTTGATTGATAAAGCACTGGGATTCTTGTATTACTGTTCAGGTTTTTTTTTTTTTAATCTATTTTAAACATCTCAGCTCTTCCAATAACTGTCATCAAGTGTAGACAGTAGCCAAGAATGAGATAGTAATGGTCTAACATGGTAGTGTGTGCAAGTAGCACTGTACTGAATGTCAGCAGTGGGCTTTGTGCTCTTGAAGGCTGAATTTGGGCTGCAGGGTAAGAGCTCAGAGAGCTGCCTCTCCAAAACCAAAATCCTTTCTGCTTCTTTCTGGAGAATTTGGACTGGACTGAAACCTTGTCCTCAGCAGTGTCCTTAGTTTAATGGCGATTCTTCATAAATACATTTGCTTTAAGATGAGTTGAACAATCTGTAATAAAGGTTTGCAGTGCTTGAATTTAGAAAGCTGTCAACTGCCCACATAAACTCAGCTAAGTCACAGCAGTGAAGTTGGCTTTTGCCATATTTGTCACTCAAGTAGTATTGTTAATGAAGATATGTTGACCATGCTGGTAGGACATGATATTATTTCCTTAATGTTTTATTGGTAGAATAAAACATTTATTGTATTGACACTGTTGGGGCTTTTTGAGAAATACTAGGTTGAGTGTTACTGTTTATTCAAAAATGTGGCACAAAACATAGGGGTTCCTGAAGAGCTCTGCTCAGGTCTTACAGAGCTCATAGGTAGGAAGTGGCTGAAATGTTAATATAAGTGTCTTAATTTTTGTACTTATTTTATTCTTTTCATATTTCACATGATCTCTAATAGTGAAAAAGATAAATCCTTCAGCCTTCAAAAGGATTGAAAATCTGAATCCATATCCATGAACAGAAGTCCAGGAGAGGTCCCCAAGCAGTTGCTGTTCCTTTACTAGAGGAAAGCAGTAACTGCATGGCTGTGCCTTTTTTGTGGGCAGTAAAGACTTCTGAGATATTCACTTCATTGTGAGGGAGTGGCAACAGTATTTTTTCTAACAGTCTGGTTTTAATTAAATGTTTGATGGTAGATCCACATTTCTGTAGGTAGGCCATGTGTTCCCTTGCTCATAGTTACCCAAGGCCAATGAAGATCTGTGCAGTTCCACCACCACTGATGTCTTTTATAAGCTGAATAAAGTCCCAGGTAGTCACTTGGTGTGCTCGGGTGTCCTGGCAGAGATTTCACACCCTGAGCTCCCATGTCTGGGAGGAGATCCACGTGCCCCCTCTTTGGCAGAAAGGGCAGGGCAGGTCTGTAGTCACTGGATTTGGCAGTCAGTGTTGTGCTCTGTCCCAGTCCTGCACGCCTGGGGAGGACTCTCAGCCATCCCATCACTTCTTTGGAAACTCTTGCACGCTCCTTGGGAAGCACTGTGCTGCAGGCTGGTGTGCAAGGGACTTTGCTCCTTGAACTTGTTCTCTTCCCAAGGATATATCTGTTGCTGAATACTCCAGAGAGGTGCTGAGTGCTAAGTAAGGAGTTTCCAAATGACCAGTGGAGCAGTTGTATCTGCTGTAACATGCAGGATTTCAGCACACTGCCTCCTTTTTGTTTAGCCAAGTCATGCTCTGGTGTACTCTCCTCACTGCCAGGTATGTGGCTGGAAAAGAGGAAGATTTCAAGCAGACCAGTGAGCAAATCCCAGTGACTGAGCTGGTCCTGGAATAAAAAAGATGATGACTTGTAGTGGATCATTTCAGCATCTGCCAAAAACAATAAGCTGTTCTGCTTCTGTTGTAGAAAGTGAGAAAAGACTTTACCAGAAGAAAAGTGCACACTCCGTTTGCAGCTTAACTCACTGTGAAGCTCAGCAGAAAGCCCAGATGAATCTGAGTGCCTGGGGCAGACAGAAGTAGAGCTTCTTACCTTGCTGCAGCTGAGCAGCTCTAATTTCTTTAGGTTTAGTTTGACTTCAGAGCAACTCACGGAACTGGAAAGCATCATTTTCTCCTGTTCTGAGGGCCACGTACCAATAGTTTGGAGTTGCCTTAATCTGCAGAATACTTGTTCTCTTTAAGATTTTTTTTGGTCAGTGATGTCGCCATTAATGTCAGAGTTTTGTCTTTGCATTGTAATGCCCAGAGCTTGAAAGCAGTGTTGATGTGCACTGCTGAAAGCAGATGCCTTTGGTCTACTTGTAGAACACGAGTTGCATGGCAAGTTCACAGATTAATTGTTGCTTGCATTATCCTCTGGGAGGGAATGCCCAAATGGATTTCTTATACTCCAGATTTGTTTCCAGGATCTGTTTCTACCAAGCAAAGCCTAGGCCAGCTGAATGTGGCAAATACTGTAGGAGAGTCAGCTTAGAGGTTCATTGCAGACTCATACAAAGTGTCTGAGGTGATTTTGAGGAGTATGTTAGCCCTGTTAGGTATACCTATAAATAAACTTTCCTCATTCATCTGGGTGGCTTGTCATGTTTTTGCTTATTGTTGTAGGATCTGCTGTCTTTGTGGGGGACATCTTTGAGCAGGAGGCATTGTTTGTATTCTGAGCAGCAGAAAAAAATGTGTTTATCATCTTGGGAGGGTTCTCATTTGCTTCAAATCCCTAGGACCTTTCTTTCAGATGTCTTTGTTTCTATTTCACTTTGTTCTTCTTTCTGTCAGCCACCCTAAAAAATGTATTAGATCTTGTAATGCTCTGGAATTATTCTAGAAGCTTTGTCTCCTCTTGTAACTAAAAGTAAACAGAATCACCAAAGTCTTTAGTGATGAAACTTGCTGAGCATCTGAGAAGATTACATTTGCTGTGGTTTCTGTTCATGACTGTGGGAACAGTGCTTATCTGCCACCAGGAAACAGAAAACTTCACTGTGTTTTAAGATAAAATAAGGAAGCAGTGGCTTTGAAAACCAGATGTTTGGTATGATTTCACTAAACTCCTGCTTGAGTGGGGTTCAGAAGTTGGGTACATTCTTTGTCTGAATATATCCTGTTTAGTTCTGAGCAAACCATTTGTGAGTGAGACTTGGTTATCATTTCAGAGCAAAGGATATGAAGAAAGAATTAAACAGCTATCACCAGTGACATTATTTCAGGCTTCCTCCTTCATTGATATAGATGAGTTATGCCCATAGTAAGCCCCAGTTGACAGGAATACTGGATTTCTGGTTCAGGGCTTAAAACAGTGCCAAATTTAGAATTAGAATTGCTCTGATAGGGAGGGGTAGGTTGGTGCCACATCTTTTGATTCTAGTGCCTTTCTTGTAGTGTCTACCTACAGCCTGTTTTGGGGACATGATGCTACTTGAAGTCTTATTCTGCCTTACCACTTGTAGACTGCAGCTCCTACTCCCTTTCCCTCTTCAGGTTTGTCAACCATTCTCTCTTTGTGGGGGTATAATTCATTTTTAGACAATATTACTTGTCTCATCTCAGAGCCTTGACCTTTCTATCTTGTGATAATGCCGACCATGAGGAGCTGGGCTGTAACTTTCCCTCCGAGGCTGGCAGTCTGCACCACACCTTCCTGCTCAAGAGCACTGTCTGTGCCCTGCAAAGTCACACTGGTCTTTTTTCCTGACTCTGCATCACGTGCTTGTGTTCTACCTTGCTACTTGTTCTTATGACTGCTTTTAATGTCAGACTTTCTTCTTGCCACTCTCCAGAACTCCTCCCCATTCTAACTTAAGCTCTTCCAATTGTTCTGTGTGTGAATATTAGCCCACGTAGTTTTGGGGCTATGCAGTAGCTGTAGTTATACTGTAACATTGTTTTTATCTGTCCTCTGGCAAAATTAATGCATCTTGTCATCCTCTATCTTGTTAAGGTTATGGGGCTTTATTTCTACCTCTATTTAAGAGAGGTTTAAGAGAAAAGATATTTTAAAACTAAAAGATGTGTTAGCTCCATGAGAACAGATCAAGAGAAAGAACATACCAGATTATTTGGATAGAGAGGAAGGTGAGGATGGAGGTATCAGACACCACAGAACAGCTGTGTGGAGCCTCCTGAATTGGTACTCAGGTAATTTCTGATACCCCCCTGTGTCACTGAGCATAAAGAAGTCTGTTTGCCATGCTCTGGTGAGATGTGTGAGGGCTGTAGAGTTCCCCAAAGTCTGCTATACTGGACTACTGCATCCTGCTGCTGCTGTTTGGCTTTAGATTTTTTGTACTCTCACAAGCAGAAGTGACCTGCTGGTGTCTGGTATCCTGGTTATGGCTGGCAGCATTCCTGTGCCTTGTCTTACTCCAGCCGTGTTCAGAACAGTGGACAGTTCATGTGCTGTGTTAGACTGCTTTTCATTAACTTGCAAGTCTTTCTCTCATTTCCAGTTGCCATCTTCTAAATGGATTCCAGTGAATTTTCAGGATCTATGGACCCCCTGTCCTTGCCTGACAAACCGCTTATTGGAGATCTCCCTGCTGACATGGAGTTTGGTGAAGATCTCCTGGGCTCCCAAACAGCTTCCACCCAGGAAGCTTCAGTTCTTCAGCCCCCTGGCTGGGATCAATCCAAGCAGATGACTGCAGATGGGGACTTGGACCTTCTAGTGAAAGCAGACAGCCTGTCCGAACTAAATAAATCAAATGACCGTGTTCTAGATAAACCCAATGTCTTGGATATGCTGGAGAAACCTGATGTCTTAGATAACTTGGATAAAACTGCTGACTTGATGGAGCAGGATAAACCTGAGGGTCTGGATGGGCTATGTAAGGCACATCCTTCCCGGGACATGGAGGGTGGACCATCAGACTCCTCTGCCCTTTCTAGAGAAGCCCTTGTTCCAGAAACATGGAAAGAAGGGGAGGATGCACCAAAAAATTGTTCTGGGGACCTAAAGGAAGACGGTGCTGCTGCTATTCCTGCACTGCCTGGTGACAAGGCCCCTGAATCACCTCGAAAACCCATTCCTGACTCTGGGAACCTCAGCAGTGCCCCAGCCACTGAAGAAACCACAGCACAGTCCTCGAGTCCAGCAATGCCCCCACCCCAACTCAGTCTTAAACAGACAAAGAAGATGAAGTTGAAAGCACCAAGGAAAAGCTCACCCCTGCAGAGGGAAGGGCTGGCAGGGGAAGCAGAGGTGGAACCGATCCCAGACAGCAGAACTGCAGCTTTGCCCCCTGAGCCTATGGAGGAAAACCGGGCAGAGGGAGGGGATGATAATGGGAAAAACTCACTTAAAGAAAATAGTGTACTCAAAGCACAGGAAGCCTCGGCACCAGCAGGTAAGTTGTTGGCTCAGCAGAACTTGGCTCCCTTTTGCTCAGGAGCTCATCCAGCTGCAGGTTGCTGAGGCTGGAGTCTTCTGCACTCCAGCTTTTCCCATCATCCCCTGCTATGGAAACTGTGAATGGTACTGATGGTCTAGGTTTGGGCAAAGCTTCTTGCATACAGGGAATAGTGCTCTGGTGCATACAAGCTCTTGCTCAGGCTTTCATGGCTTTAGCTTATTATCAGTGCTTGTGTCAGCCCAGGAGCTTCCCTGATAAAACTGGCTGTGTATCAGCTTAGCTCACACTCTTCATGACTGGAGTCTTTGCTGGAACTGAGGGTCAGCAGGAGGTGTTTCCAATAGGCAAAGTTCCTCTGCCCAGGCTGACCATCCCCAGGAGATGCTCAGTCTTGGTTCAGAAGCAGTTGGAGGTAGCTGCTCACCCAGCCTGCCTCCCCACACAGGGAGGTCTCCCCCTCAAGGGCTCCTCCCAAGCTGCATGTTTGGATCTCCAACCACAGATGGTGGATTTAGGAGCTTTCCTGTGTCTGATCACCACCAGAATTGTACTTGATAGCCAGGGCTGACCCAAATGGTGACTGTGTTTGGAGAACACCTGTGGTCTTCTGTTGGAGAAAAGCAAGATGTTAGATGACAGCTTTTTCTGTGCTTCTGTTCCAGGAGAAAGCCTGTCTGGGAAGGGGAGCGAGCTACCAGCTGAGAAGGTGAGGAGAATGCAGTCAAATATGTATGGTACAGGAGCAGAGAGCGTGGCTGGCTGTTGTCAGACTCTGTGAGGGACACTGGCTGCCTCATCACCCCTCTGGGAAGGAGTCTGCATGACTCCTGTGATGGAGTGGTCCCTGTGCACTGCCACTGTGCTGTAATGTGGCTTCAGCATGTCCCTGCTACCCACAGCTGAAATGTCATTCTCATAAGCCTACTTCCCCCTCTCCTCTGTCTTGCCAACTCTGGTCAGGTATCCATGGAGTTTTATCCATTTTCAGCCTAGCTCTTGGGAAAGCAAATCCCAGGGGTTGGAACTCCACCATGATCTGAGATATTTATCCATGGTTTTCCTAGCAGATAGTTAGCCTAAATATTTTCTGAATGTCTTCTAGGAGCAGAAAAGAAGTGAACGACCCAGAAGATCAGAAACTGCCAGGCCTGAAACTGTGAACTCCTCTGAGAGCAGTAAGTAACTGGGGTTGGTCAATGCCTGTTTTCAGCCTGAGAGAAGGGCCCAGATCCATTGGGGGCAGGTGGTTCATGGCGTGAGTACAGTGGGAACTCTGGAGCTTCTGTGCAGACTTCCCTTCTACACTGGACAGGTCTTTACACCCTACCAGTCTTCATCCTCAGGTACTTGCCTTGCTTTCTCAGGGCACTTAGGTCAAAGCAGCATTATCTTATTTTTACAGTGGTTTGTGGACACCAAGCACTAAGTAATAGAATGAGACTCTGGGGTTGTTCCCAGGAAACGCATCTTCCATCTCCTCAGCCAGGAACTTTCTTTCTTTGTCTCTGGCAGCAGGCTGTCTGAAGGAAGGTTGCATCTTGGGGATTTTCCTGCAGAAGTGCATGAAGTCTCTGAGGTGTTGAGTGTCACCCTGCTATTCCCTAGCATCTGTGTGTTGCTCTTTTATTGCCTGCCTGTGCTGTTCCTTTAAGGTCTGCTGGCTCTTGGAGGATTTTCTGCTATAAAAGTTCACACTTTGGGCTTCTGCTCAACCTTGACGTATCATGACTTCCTAAAGAGGAATTGTTCTTAAGCCCAGTTTGCTTAAAGACCTCTTGATTCATCTCCAGTTCAAACAGAATTTCTTTGAAGGGTCCCTTTATCTTTCCGCCCAGACAGGTACAAAGTACATAGAGGGGCTCCAGAAAGGTGACCCAGAAAGTCCCAGCATGTGTCTCATGGCAGTTTCTCAGTCCCTAATGAGGGATTTCTGTGCCTCTTCCTCTGCTGCTTTGCAGTTCCAGTGTCTGACGAGGACTCTGATGCAATGGTGGATGATCCCAACGACGAGGATTTCGTTCCTTTCCGCACGCGGCGCTCGACCCGCATGTCCCTGCGCACCCAGATGGCCCAGCGAGCCGCCCGCTCCACCTTCACCAAGATGACCTGTGCCAACTGCAGGACCCCCCTGCAGAAGGGCCAAACCGCCTACCAGCGCAAAGGGCTTCCTCAGCTCTTCTGCTCCAGCTCCTGCCTCACCACCTTCTCAAAAAAACCGCCTGGCAAGAAGATATGCACCTTCTGCAAAAAGTGTGTGTTCATTCCCCTTTCCTCAGTGCTCCCATGCTCGTGACCCCGTTCACCTGCTCCACAGCTCTGCCAGCCAGTCCCCTTCCTATGGCCCTCATTCACCCACATCACTCCTGCCCACTGCCAGCTGCTGCCCCATGTCTTCCTTCACACACTGCACATCCCATGCTCCCTACACCCCCTTCACGTTATTGCCATTCCCTGCCTGTCCCCAGACTCAGTGCCCCGTATTCCAACCTCCTCTTAAAACAACCTCCTGCATGCTCCGTCTTCAGACACCACCCCTCTGGGCCAGGACAGAAGCTGCTGTGAGACAGTTCTTGCCAACTTTTTGGGACACCAGAAAGTCCTGTGCGTTGCAGTGGGCCATCCTATCCCTTTGTGGCAGGACTCAAGTGTCCCTGCACTAACACGTCCCCTCCTGATCCCCAGGGAGATCTGGAACACCAAGGACTCTGTGGTTGCCCAGATTGGTTCAGGTGGCTCTTTCCACGAGTTCTGCACCTCTGTCTGCCTTTCCCTCTACGAGGCCCAGCAGCACAGACCAGCACCTCAGTCTGCAGATGCCTCGGACACCAGCCGCTGCAGTGTTTGCCACAAACCTGGCGAGGTAAATAAATCCCTTGTCCTTCCCATGCCCTGCATGAGGTGCCTGGGACCTGCAGCATTTGGCCTTGCCTGGGACCAGGGCATTTGCCAGGTTTTCCTGTGGTGTGAGGCTTCAGCCCCTGAGCTGTCTTGGGCTCACTCCCAGGTCTTTTTGTGTTACTGTAAACCAGCCCTTATTTTAGCAGAAGGAAAGAGGCTTCTGCTTCTCCCCACCCTGAAGCTCACTGCTTCCTACCACTCTGCTCTCCCAGTTGCTCCACTGACTTTTGGCAAGGGAGGCCACCCTGAGTCCACACCAGCTTCCAGTATGGCATTTGCCCAAGTCTCAGCCTGTTATCCCAAGGGCTGTGGCAGCAGTGGTACAGCTGCATTGGAAGGAGGCCCCTGATGGTTTGGGGAGTGACAGCAATGATGTCTCTGCAGATCCAGCACGAGGTCAGCAACGGGAGCGTGGTTCACCGCATCTGCAGTGACGCCTGCTTCACCAAGTTCCGGGCCACCAAGGGGCTGAAGACAAACTGCTGTGACAACTGTGGACTTTATATCTACAACAAGGGCTTGCCCCTGGAGTACCTCTTCCATGAAGGCCAGCAAAAACGGTTTTGCAACTCTACGTGTCTCAACAGTTACAAGAAGGTGTGTGGATCAGCTGCCTGGAGTGGGGGGGTCTCTGCAGGCACACAGCTCCCTAGCTTGGTGTGGCACAGGGCACTTTATGCAATGACAGGTGATTCAAATCCCCTTGGTCTTTCACTGCTGACAAAGCATTTAAAATATTTCTGTGGAGAAACTTTGAAGCAGGCAAACAGAATGAATTTATTTTGCATGAGGCCCATCTTGGACCCAGGGATGGATCAGGCAGTCAGTAAGCTGGACTGTGCAGTGACACTGGTATATACAGTTAGCATGATTCTGTTGGATATGTTCCTCTGTGACCTGAGCAGGCTTCACTTAACTGTCTCAATGGGATTGCCAAGCTCTGTATTCTTGCCAGGCTACCCTTAAAATGAGAAGCTGAAGTGCCAAAGGCAGCCTTTTTTGCTACCACCACCTGAACCTGCAGACTATGAGCCTGGTTCTGGCACCAGGTGGTCACTGCAGGAGAGCAGTCCTGTGGCGGATACAGATGTGGGGTGGGATGTGAGGGTTGGACCTTGCTGGCTGTGATAGTCTCCCTGGCAGCTCTGTTTTGCTCTGTGCTTGCAGAAGAACACTCGGGTCTACCCCTGCATGTGGTGCAAGACGCTGTGCAAGAACTTTGACATGCTGCCCAATGTGGATCGCAGTGGCAAGATGGGCCTGTTCTGCTCCATTTGCTGCACTACCTCCCACAAAGTGAAGCAGTCAGGCTTAGTCGGTAAGAGCACCTACACAGAGGGAATCAGTCACATCTTCACTCTAACTCCTTCCTTAGCTTTGTTTATTGCTTGTGGATGGGACTGAAAAGAAGATGTGTTGCTTGCCTGGGGAGGAATCCAGTGAGACCGGGGGAAGGAGATGTGGATATGGAGGAACCCCTGCAGAATGCAAACATCTTAATATGGAGGGTAGTGTACATTACTGTTCTTGAGAATGTAGGGAGCAGCTGTAGTGCTGGGCTGTGCTGGCATTGCCCTTTCTGTTACATGGAGTACCAGGGTGTCCAGGAATGGGTGTGGTCTCTGGTGCAAGTATTGCAACCTATTTTGTCCAATGTCCTATAGAGCCAGGGTCACTCCCTTGAACCCCTGTGCTCTCCATCTCTGTTTAACATTTCTGTCCTAGCAGAATCCAGTGCTCTTGGTTTCCTTGTGTTCTTGTCCCTTGCCTTTTGATAATAGCTTGTCAGACTGAGGATGAGTGAGTAGCTTGGGTGCCATCCTCAGAATCCAGTGTCACATGGTTTGCTGCTGCCCTCACCAATTCCTATCTGTTTCATCAGGTCCCCCTAGACCCTGCAGCTTCTGCAGAAAGAGCTTATCTGAACCTTGCTATTACAACAAGACAGACCGGGTTGTCTACCAGTTCTGCAGTCCCAGCTGCTGGACCAAATTCCAGGTACTGAAATATCCTTCATGCTGGGCTGGGCCACAGAGCTCATGCCTCCTTTCACACTTAGCAGAGGCTCCACCTTCCTTGAGCTCCTCAGGGAGGGTTCCTAAGAAAGTCTCTGTGGAACACAAGAGTTGCAGTGACTGTAATTGCTCATATCTCGGTCTTGGCCCTATCATCCCCTTCCTCCACTGGGATAAGGCAGGCTGTAATTCACTCCTGTCTGTCAGGTTATGCCCAGTGGAAGGGCAGTGCAGAGCTGTGCTGCATGAGTGGTTTGGGATGCAGTGGCCTTACAAGAGCATGAGCAAAAGCACAAGTAAGTCAGCAAAGCACGGTACACACCTGCTAGCTGGGTGGAAAGGGGCAGAGCTCCCCTCTGAGTCAGGTGTCACCAAGAAATACAAGCCTTCTAGAATGTATTGTCTAAAAACTTAGAGCCAGCAGGCCTGGATACCTCATGTTTGATAATCCTCTAAGGCTTGACTAGCGGTTTTTAATCTTCTGACATTAAGTTTCAGCATGTGTGAAATGTCTGTGGTATTCATAGGCAACTTGAAGGTTATTAGTTTTGTACAGTTGTCAAAGAACAGAGTAACAGCCAGGAAGACCTGGGAAACTTAGGCCAGGACGTGCGAAGTGCAACTGAGAAAACGTAGAGAATCTAGAGGTAAGAGGTAGTTACTGGCAGTTGCAGCATTTGGTTTTTGGATTATTTTTTTTTAATTGGTTGTGAGGTTTTTTTAATTGGGGGGGGTGGGGTTTTTTTGTTGTTGTTGGTTTTGTTTTGGTTTTTTTTTTTGATTGGGGTTTTTTGGTGTTCTTTTATGTATCCTTGATGTAATCCTTCACTGAGATCACAAATAGTGTTGGTAGTGTAGCTGTAGAGTTTTTACAGTTGTAGACTTCACAAGACTAGAATTATAGAAGTGTTTCAGTTGAAAGAGACCTTTAAATGTCATCTAGTCCAGCCTCTGCATTGAGCAGGTACATCTTCAACTAGGTCAGGTTCCTCAGAGCCCTGTCCAACCTGACCTTTGAATATTTATAAGGATGGGGCATCTACCACCTCTCAGGGCAACCTGTGCTAGTGTTTCACTATCCTCATTGTGAAAAACTTCTTTATAGCTGATCTAAATCTACTCTCTTTTAGTTTAAAACTATTACCCCTTGTGCTATCACAACAGGCTCTGCTAAAATGTGTGTCCTCTTATATCTTTCTTATAAGTATTGAAAGGCCACAATAAGGTCTCCCCAGTGTTCTCTTCTCCAGGCTGAATAACCCCAACTTCCTCAACCTTTCTTGACAGAAGAGCTGTTCCAGCCCTCTGGTCGTTTTCGTGGCCTCCTCTGGACTCGCTCCAACAGGTCCATGTCCTTCCTGTGCTGGGGACCCCAGAGCTGGAGGCAGCTCTGCAGGTGGGGCCTCACCAGAGTGGAGGAGGCACAGAGTCACCTCCTTAGACCTGCTGGTCATGCTTCTTTTTGGGCAGCCCAGGGTACAGTTGGTTCCCTGGGCTGGGAGCTCATGTTGCCAGCTCATGTCCAGCCTCTCATCCACCAGCACCCCCAAATCCTTCTTGACAGGGCTGCTCTTGATCTGTTCATCCCCCATCCTGTACTGACACTGGGGGTTGCCCCGACCCAGGTGCAGCACCTTGAACTTGGCCTTGTTGAACCTCATGAGATTCCCATGGGCCACTGCTCAAGCTTGTCCAGGTCCCTCTGGATGTTACTCTGTCCCTCAGGCTTGTCAACTGCATGACTCAGCTTGGTGTCATCTGCAAACTTCCTGAGGATTCTCTCAATCCACTACGTCATCGATGAAGATATTAAACAGAACTGGTCCCAGTATAGGTCCCTGAGGGACACCACTTGTCACCGATCTCCATCTGGACACTGAACCATTGACCACTCCCTTCTGTGCAACCATCCAGCCAATTCCTCATCCAGTCCACCCAGCAAATCCATCTCTCTCCAATTTAGAGAGAAGAATGTTGTGTCAAAGGCCTTACAGAGGTCCAGAGAGGTGGCATCCATAACTCTCTGCTCCTCCACTGATATAGTCACTCCACTGAGGAACTAGGTTAGTCAGGCAGGACTTGCCCTTGGTGAAGCTGTGCTGGCTGTCTTGAATCACCTCCCTGTTCTCCATATGCCTTTGCACAGCTTCCAGAAGGATCTGTTCCAGGCACAGTGGTGATGCTAACAGGTTGGTGGTTCCCAGAGTCCTCCTTTCTGCCCAATTGAGAAATGGTTGCAATGTTTCCCTTCTTCCAGTTATCTGAGACTTCACCAAGTCACCTAACTTGAATTATTGCCATGTAAAACCAGCATTGTACTATATGAGTAAACCAAGGCATAACCTGGATTAGGAACTGTCTTGCTGGCAGATCTCAGAACACACTTGTCAAATTAAAACAGCTGAAGAGGATGTTTCAAGATGGTTTCTTGGGGATCAGTATTAAGCTTGGCTTAATACCAATCAATGGAGTTCAACGTTTTCATCAGTCATTTGGCAATAAAGTCAAAGTAAGCATAATAAATGTTGCAGATGAAACGAAAACTGGTGACCTTAGCCCATACTGAAGCCAGGGCAGTCACAGAAAGCAAAGAAATTGAATTGATTGACAAGGCTAGTTCCTCCTAATCTGTGCTTAAATACAGTTCAGTGTAAGATCCTGTGTCAGCCTTACTCAAGTAGTATGGGGATGCAAGTCCTGGGAAAGTAAGGATTTTGAAAAGACCTTGGAATTACAGCAGATAAGCTGTTCAGTATGAGTGTCTCAGTTTACAGCCACAGAGGGAAGGATTAATTAAGTTCTTGCAAGCAGAAGCAGAAGTACATGGAGTTAAAGTTTGAGGGCTAGGGAGCAAAAGAGCTACCTAGAATGTTGGACAGATAGGAAATATTTTCCAGTGTCCACTTTATTTTCAATATTGCAGAAAACTTGGAAGTATCCTGAAAAAAAACCAAACAAACCCATAAAAATTACATTTGGGCTTGTAAAATGCTTGTACTGAGGCACTTGCAGAATGCCTTATCTGAGGTTATCAGAAAGAAAACCAGGAAGATGACTTTATTAATAAATAGATCCTTGTGGACGAGACAGCAAATGCTAAATGGCTATTTAATCTAGCAAAAGGTGGAATGAGAAAGGCTGCTTGAATTCTGAAACTCCATTACCTTGAAAATAGAAACCAAGCAGCTGTGCTTCAGGAACTTTTAGAGAAGAAGTTGCAGAGCCCCCATCCCTTGATGTTTTCAAATCCAGTGGGGTGGCAGCTTGAAAGCTTGCCTTCCTGAGAAGAGCTGGACCCAGCACATTGGAAGCAAAGTGAAATTGCTGTCAAGAATCTGCTCTCCAGGAGCTTGAGACATGATCTGGTGGACTGACTGAGTCACCAACGGTGGCATCAGGTCTGGGTGGGGCTGGGTGGGCTGCTTGTGACTGTGGAGAAGACAGGCAGTGGTGGCAGTGAGAATCAGATGTCCACTGCCCTCCATGTGCCTCTCCCTCCATGAGCTGTCTCTTCTCCTGCAGCGCACCAGCCCGGAAGGTGGGATCCACCTCAACTGCCATTACTGCCACAATCTTTTCAGCGGGAAGCCAGAGATCCTAGACTGGCAGGTGAGGACTTTCCCCGGGGGAATATTGAGTTGGAGGCCAACACTGGTGAGAGCTGCAGGGCTCCTTCATCTCTCTGCTCAAAGCAGAGCTCCTCCTGTGCCAGTTCTCTGAAAGCCTTGGCTGCAGAGATGTGCCTGGAGACTGTGCCGAGTGCTGCACTCCTGGAGTTCAGCGGGATGTCGGAAGGGCAGGAGGAGACCACTTCTGCCAAACCCTGTGCCAGGAGAGCTGGGGAGTTGATTCAGCCCTGTAGTCTTCTCCTGCTTCCTTGAAAAGTGTGGGAACCTCCTGCCAGCCTGGCTGACCTGGCAGTGGTCTCTTTGGCAGGACAAGGTGTATCAGTTCTGCTGCAAGGACTGCTGCGAGGACTTCAAGCGGCTGCGTGGGGTGGTGTCCCAGTGTGAGCACTGCAAGCAGGAGAAGCTGCTGCATGAGAAGATCCGTTTCTCTGGAGTGGAGAAGAACTTCTGCAGCGAAGGTACTTGGGGAAGGCATGGGAAAGGCAGAGCCCCCATGCCAGCCCATGCTGGGGGAGGAGAAGAGAGCATGGAGAGGAACAGAGGGGAGATTGTCTTAGCCAGGCCCTGGGGCAAGAGCCTTGCCGTGCAGTGAAGGGAGGACTGTTGTGGGGATGGCTTGCTGTCCAGCCAGGCCCTAGGGCTAGATCTTTACCATTCATTGTGTCCTTGGGGAGGGCCTTCTCACAGCTTTTCTCTCTCTGGGGGCTGGGGAGACAGCAGGTGGCAGCTCCGCTCCTCCTGTCATCATGCACTTCTACGCTCTTGCGTCTGGGCTGGCCTGACCTGGCCTTGCCCTGCCTGCTGGGTTCCTGCACACAGGAGGTTGGAGTCAGACTCTTCCTAGAAGCATGGAGGTGAGAGATGGCAAGTCCCCATGAGGTCCCATCTTATCCCAGCCCCAGGGGCCAGTGCTGGATTGTTCCCTACAGTGTGTTGCGTGTGCTCTGTTGTCTCCGCAGACCTGGATTTTGGTCATGTTTGGGTCAGGGAGGCCCCCAGTTCATCCTGGGAAGGTTTCACTCCTATTGTTTCTCCGCAGGGTGTGTGCTTCTTTACAAACAGGATTTCACCAAGAACCTGGGCCTGTGCTGCATCACCTGCACCTACTGTTCTCAGACCTGCCAGCGGGCGGTCACCGAGCAGCTGGAGGGCAGCACCTGGGACTTCTGTAGTGAAGACTGCAAAAGCAAATACTTGCTCTGGTACTTCAAGGTCAGTATTGGCACTGGCAGCTTGTGCTAAGTGCTGTGGTGGGCACGGCACCCAGATAAGTGGGCATTGCACTGAGGAAGTTCGCACTGCTGGAGTCTGGCTGGCACTGCTGCGGAGAACCTGGCACTGCTGGAGTCCTGCCTGGCAATGACGGGACACTGCTACGGGGAAGCTCACGTAGCTGGAGTCCCCAGCTGATCCTGCCAGACAGAGCACTGCACTGAGGAAGCTCACAGTGCTGGATCTGCGGCTAGTGCTGCTGTGAGAAGTTCGCACCGCTGGAGTCCCTGGCTGGCACTGGCAGTGCACTGCTGTGGGGAAGCTCACAGCACCTTGCTATGTGCACCTTTCACTGGAGAGTTGTGTTGCACTCGGAGGGGGTGTGGTTAGTTACTCGTTGTTTCTCTCCTGCTGATGCGGGCTTTAGGCAGCTCGGTGCCATGCCTGCAAGCGTCAGGGGAAGCTGCTGGAAACCATCCACTGGCGGGGGCAAATCAAACACTTCTGCAACCAGCAGTGTCTGCTGCGATTTTACAATCAACAGAACCAGCCCAACCTGGACACGCAGAAGGGGCCCGAGAGCCTGCTGAACAGTGAGTAGGAGGGAGGGAGGGGACCTGCATAGCTCAGTCTGAGAGACACAGGGAAGACTGAACAGCAGTGGTGGAAACTTCCTGCTTGGGACTGGAGGAGACGCTAGGGAACAATCCTGCACTGGCCCTTGGGGGGGAAAGGACGGAGTGGGACCTAATGGGCTTCTCCATCTCTAACATCTATGGTTCTATGACACACAGGGCCCAGACGGGAGGAGCCGGTGCCAGCGTGCTGCCTGTAGCTCACACTCTTAGCGAGGATACTCAGGGATTTAACATCCTCAAGTTGCCAGCGGAGAGCTCGATTTTCAGGGTTAGGGGACAGCGTGGTTTGGCATGACAATCCACCTGCAGCCCCACACCACCTCCGAGCTGTGACCTTCTCAGATCTCATAAGATAATCTGGATTGGGCCAGGTCAGTGCTTGGATGGGAAGCATTCAAGGACAAAGAAGGGTGCTGCAGGAAGTGGTGCTGGTGACGCTGTAGGTGGGCTCTCCTCAGCCAGAGCTGAACCTAGAACGGTCTTGAGGGAGCACTGAGCTGCTGGAGGCACTCTTGTCTTGTGATGTTAGATTGGAGTCCTACCATTTACCCAAAGTTCACTGCAGCTTTGGGGAATTGCCAACCCTGTCCCCCAGATAACCCCATTCTGCATCCATGGAGTTCCAGCTGGAGAGGAGATTTTCGCTGCCTGTTGCCCCATTTCCTATCCTTAACTTGAGCCAGTTGCTTATGCAAGATTGCAAAGTGCTTTGGGATCCCTCAGGATGGAAGGTGCTCGTAGTGAGTGACAAGATATCGCTTGGCCCTTGGACTTTTGCATAATCTCATTCTGCTTGGTCTGGCGTAGGCCACGATGTCCTTGGTAATCTGTGGGATCTAGTTAAGATGCCTGCAGTTTATGGTGGGACTTGCTTCAGTGTATCAAGCTCCAACACATACCTGCACTGAAGATTCAGGGCTTTGCTGCCTTCCCTGGGATTTCATGAAGTGTAAAACCCTGGCTAGGGTGTGCCAAGGAGGGGAAACCAAGACAAGGACCTTCATGTGAGAGACCTCATCCTCCATCTCCAGACTCCTGTGGTTCCTCTCCTGTGGGCTGATTGTAAGATGGGGGAAGCTCCGGATGTCGCTGCTGCTTAGATAGCAAAGCAGAGCTGCTTCTCCAGAAGCAGCAGGTTCCCCCAGCTAGGGGAGTCCCAACCTGCCTTCCAAGAGCCACATTCCATAAAAAGCTGCGTGAGGTGACAGCTCAAGTGGCAGGACACTGGAGTGACCTGGATAAGGAACTGTTGGTTTCTGCTGGCACAAGGGTGCCCATGGGAAGTCTGCTTGATGGTTTACAGTGTTCTGCTGCCCAGGAAAAGAAGAGGTGTTAAACTTGCTAGTTCCTGTAGCTCACCAAGTGATTCCACAGCCCCACCCATCCTGTTGCATTTGTCCTCTGCTTTCAAGGCAAGTCACTTGTGAGGAACCAATTACACTGCTTTTGCAGCACAGGCACAGTGGACAAACTCTGCCTGCAGAGGGAACCATGTTTCACATTGTTTAGCCATTGGACCTTGCTACTTGGAGCCATGGATCATAAGACTCAGAAGTACCTTCTCCACCACCACTAACCACGAGAGTCTCAGGCCTCCTGTACCACATCTCTGGAGAGCTCCAAGAACTTTGCTTCTTGGTATGTGGGGCATCACCCTTCACTGTGCCACAGCTGCCTCTCTGTGCCCCCTGTAAGGACTCTGAGGGAGCCAAGGAAAAGCCCTTCATCAGTAGTGAGTGCTCAGCTGAGCACAAGCTCCAAGCTGCCCCAGCAGCTACTGTGCTTGGTGAATGCTGCTGGTGGCACTGGGCCCTCTGTGTGTTCTGGCACACCCAGATGTGGGATAGCCATGGACACCCTTGCCCCAGGACTGTTGCATACTGCTGAGTTTGCAAAGGAAGGGTGCTGGAGCCAAGGACCTGCTTACACAGAGAGCTTTCCAGCCCACTGTGCTGTGCAGGGGATTTAAGGAGGAGCAGCTTGTCAGCTCATGATGAGGAGCAGCTTTGCCTGGTGCAGTCAAGGTGTCCTGTGGACCTGGCAGCTGCATTGCCAGCTCACAAGGGACTGCCTGGATTTCAGGCCCATCGTGGGTAGAGCTGTTGACTACTTGGTTATTCTGTTGCAGCCAGTGGTTGCCTAGAACCCTTACTTCCCATGACCCAGTGGCTGCTACCAGCTTAGTGATCTTGAGACTGCTTGTTGCTGATCATATAAGCAGCTGTTCTTTTGCTGGGAACAGTCCATGTAATACAGGATTGAGGAGGTTTTGCTACAAAACTGTGCCCAAACACTTCCAAGGGGAACTGGCTCTGCACAGGGCTGACCAACTGGAGAGGGTAGAGGATCAGAAGTCACCGTTGGGGCAGGCAATGCCTTGACAGCTCTTTGTTGGCATTGGGATGAGAGTAAAGAACAAACCACAGTCTTCCTGGAAGCCTAGACACATAGAGCTTTGTGGCAGGAGAATCCTGTTTTCTTAGTCCTAAATCACTGGCCTGTGGGGCAATCATGTTTGCTTTTGATTCTGCTGCAGCAAAAATTCCACTCATGCACCATAGCTTGTCTTTTCTCAGTCAAACCATTGATGTTTCCTACCTGGACCTGCTGCCCATCCACTTTGGGCTGTCAGGGTGAGTTCTTGGACCCTGAGACTGCTGCAGAACCTATGGCTGAATGCTCAGCTGCAGACTAGGGAGCTTCCTCCAGCTGGAACTTGCCTGTTTCCTGCTGTGGTGGCCAGCAAGTGGAGACTGCTAGGCCTCCAGTTGCACAAGAGCTGTCCTGCATTTCCTTAGGACAGAGGAAATCTACACAGTGCATGGTCTGTGTGTTGGACCTCTAGGAATCTGGGTCTTTCCTGAAGAGCCAGTCTGTGTGTAGGAGGTGCAAATGGACCCACCACTGCCTTTGGGTGCTGAGACCTGCTGCTTTCCTCGCAAGTGACTCCTCCATGCACGGCCCACAGTTAGTCAGTGCTGTAGAAGGCAGATGTTTTTGGCAGCCACATGGGTAACCAGGGCTCACTGGAGGCTGAGACGAACGTGCTCTGTTAGCTCATAGGTCTTTGAGATGGGTGCAGATTCTCTGCAGAGCAAATGAGCTGGAATTATCATCCAAGGCAGGGTGATACTGTCACCACCTGAGACTGCCACGTGCACCTCTTAACTGTAGGTGATCCTTTCTTTCTTTAGGGGAATATACTGCATCCCTAGGGCTGGGGCAAAGCTGTCTCTCTGCTTTCTGGGATATCTCATAATGCTTCTGTTAGCTCTGTCACCTTCTTCCTAGGGATCTCGAAGCACTTTGCCAAGATATTTGTAGCAGGGATATGGAGGCACAGGGAGGGGCCATGGCTCGGTACAGCAAGCCAATAGGCAGAGCTGGGAATAGAGCCCTGGATTCCTCTCTCAACAAGGGACTGGGATTTCTCCTGACCTGCTGTGACAGGGATGGGGTGGACTGCAGGTGAGCACAAAATGACATGGGAGTAACTTGATTTTGGAGTTGTAGTGTCTTCTGAGCTGCTAGGGCTAGAGATTGTGGAAACATTAACTATTCCTGGAGTGGCCAGGAGGAGTTTCTGGGGAGCCTGTCCCTGCTCTCTGGCTGCTGGTACCTCCAGTCCCAGCAGTGGGACACATTGGCCCAGGAGCTCTTGAACTCAAGAGTTGTTGCTTTCTTTTACAGGTCAGACTTCAGATCCAAAACCAGCTGTCCCTTCCCCACAGAAGACAGAGACTAACATGGTAAGATCCATTGGAGATAGGAGTTTGCAAGACAGCACAAAGAGAGAACAGTTCTGCCATTGCTCAGGGAGATTTCGTTCTTCTACAATCAATGAATTTTAAGATGTCTAGATAGCGGGAGCTGATAAGAGCTCCTGGGGAGGGCAGTATCAGCATAAGTCCTGCAAGGGGGAAGAATAGCCATTCCCCAGGAGTTGATGATGAACTCCAGAATAACCTCTGTGGCACTGGCTTCTTTTGCATGGTGCTTTTCTGTGCCTGGGTATAGTCACTGTCCCACTGTTCCCCTCTGCCCCGTGGGACAGGAGCCACCAGTGCCAAACTCCTGGCACAGCAGGGACACCACACAGGTTTGCTGCCTGCCAGGAGCAGCTTGGCAGTCCTTCATCCAGGCCTGACCGTGGGAGCGTCCACGTGTGTGTTGGGGACTGCCAGGCCCCAGGAGGTGCTTTGGGAGTCACTCCAGCTGTAGCTGTAGGAAAGAGGTTGTGCTGCCTTAGCTGAACATCAACCTCCTGCTTTCTGCATTTCCTCAGCTGTCAGCAAAGGCCTCCTCAGCCCAGACGTCTTCAGCTGCGCCGCCTCCCGCCCCACCAGTGGTTCCAACCACCCCTCGGAAAAACAAAGCTGCCATGTGTAAACCACTGATGCAGAACCGGGGCGTTTCCTGCAAGTTAGAAATGAAGTCCAAAGGATGTCAGACAGGTAGGAAAACAAGACATAACTGCAGGATTACAGGGCCATTTTGGAAAGGTTAGGGGCACATCCCTGCTCCAGACTGTGAATCCAGCTTGAAACGCTGCACAAAGTGTGTTTGGCACCATGCTGAGGAGTCTCTGGGCAGGTGCAGGGCACATCTGGCAGGGCTGGAGGCAGGGAGCCCATTCCCATCATCAGCAAAAGGAGAGATGCAAAGAGCACTGTAGCATGATCCTACTTCTTGTGGGACAACTCCTGTTGCTCTGGAGATTGTTATCTTGTCCAAGGGCCATCTGCTGAGCATGTTCCACTCTGTAGCTCATGCTGGGCATGTGTGTGTGGTCTCCAGGATGTGCAAGGCAACTGAACCTCTTGGCAGGGTTACATAAGAGCAGGACTTGCACTTCTGGCTAAGGCAAGCCTCCCTTGTTGCCAGGCTTGACTTGCTGCTGCTCCAGCTCTGTCCACAAATCATAGAAACTGATGGCTGGAAGGGCTGCAGTGCTGGATGGCTGGGGGCACATCAGTGTGTGGCCGGGCTGGGTGGAGGAGCTTCTGGGATCAAGCTCACTGATGTACTTTTGCTCTTATCAGAGGCTGACTGGAAGCCCCAGGTGGTTGTATTGCCAATCCCCGTCCCGATCTTCGTGCCTGTGCCTATGCATATGTACTGCCAGAAAGTACCTGTGCCTTTCTCCATGCCTGTCCCGGTAAGCAATGCATTTCATCTACTCCTGTTCTCCTGGTGTCTTGATCCTGCCTTGCTGCAGCCTCTCTTCTTCTCTGTTTATCCTCTTCTCCTGCCTCTGCTTTTGTGTCAGTCTGCTGAGTGTCAGTTTTCTGCTTGGTGTGCTGCTGTCTACAGGTGCCTGTGCCAATGTTCCTGCCCACCACCCTGGAAAGCACAGAGAAGATTGTGGAGACCATTGAGGAACTGAAAGTGAAGATCCCCTCCAATCCCCTGGAAGCTGACATCCTGGCCATGGCTGAAATGATTGCAGAGGCTGAGGAACTAGACAAGGCCTCCTCGGACCTGTGTGGTAGGTTCTGCCATGGCTTGGTCTGGCCCAACAGCTGGGATCAAGGGGGATTTGCTGGCTCTTGGAGCTAAAACACCTGCCAGGATTGCAGCTCCCCAAAGCTTCTCAAAAAAGGAAGCAGGGAATAACAATTCCTCAGCTTCTGCTGAGGAGCTACCAAAAGGGAAGAGCTGCAGCAAGGAGCGCTGTCTCCCGTTTTTTGGGGTGCCAGTCTTGTGGCACCAGTCAGGTGGCTGTTCAGGCTCTTTCCTAAAGCAACTTACTAGCTAGAAAACTAACAGTGCTGACCCTCACCCCCAGTGATGAGGGTTGTGGCTGGGAAGGTGACAAACATCCAAGGTCTGGTTGTCCAGAGAAAGCTGGGCAGTGCAGGTGTCGTGGGGCTGCTCTGAGCACAGGACTGTGCTGCACGCAGGGAGCCCAACTTCATTTCCCAGCTGTCACAGGGAAAACAGTTGGGTTTATGAACTGCTTTTGCCTTGCAGACCTGGTGAGTAACCAGAGTGCAGAGGGTCTCCTGGAGGACTGTGATCTGTTCGGACCAGCACGGGACGATGTGTTGGCTATGGCTGTCAAGATGGCAAATGTCCTCGATGAGCCGGGCCAGGATCTGGAGGCTGACTTCCCTAAGAGTAAGAGCTGGGGGAAGCAGGTGTGCAGGGCTGCTCGTGCTGCAGCAGGGTCCTCCCAGTGCCCTCAGCCAACTGTTGCCAGCAGCTCTAAGAGCTGTGTGAATTTACCTCCCCGTGCCCTCTGACTGACCAGGCCTAGGGCTGAGCCTTGCAGATGACTGCTTGCAGCAAGGGTGAGGGGACCACCACTTCTGAAGGAGTGTGTGTTTGTCTAGACTAACTTACCTGGTGAGAACATAGGTCTGCAGAGAAGGGAGAATGAGAAACTGGTTTTAACAGCACAGAGAGCAGGGCAGTGGCATTGGTGTGCTTATGGATGATGATTCCAGAGAAGGCAGCAAGGCAAGAGACCTGGACAAAGCATGACATCCTGGAAATGGTAGAATTGCTGAATGTCCATTACCAGGCAGAAGGTGGAAGAGGAGGCAGGGACTCACAGGAGCACAGCAGTGCTGGGCAGGGTGGTAGCAACAAAGGATAGAATTGAGGTGCCTGTGCCAGACTGTCCACAGTACTGGCCTGGTACAAGGGCATTGGGAATGTTCCTCAGCTTTGAAAAACAAGCAAACAAAAAACTGTCAAAGGGGAAAAATGTGGGGCTCTGGTTATTCAGAGAGAGCTTAGCATCATCTACCAGAAACATATTTCCTTTGTTGTGCTGTGGCTAAAGTTCATACGAGACAGTGGTGGAGGGTGTGAAGTGTCCTTGCTTCATCTTGCTGTATGTAAAACACTTGCCAGCACAGGGGACAGGATGAGAAGTCTCAACTGAGCCCTTCTGCCTGTGTTTCCTTTCAGACCCTCTAGACATCAACCCCAGTGTGGACTTCCTCTTTGACTGTGGGCTGGTGGGACCAGATGATGTGTCCACAGAGCAAGATCTGCCTCGAGCTGTCCGAAAGGTGAGCTCTCTGTGGGTGCTGCCTGCTTAAAGCTCTTTGGGCTTGGAGCTGCTATCTGGGATGTAGGAGGTGAAATGTGCCAGAGGCTTTGGTGTGCTGGGGAGGTTGTACCCTCTCCCCTCTGAACGTGCTTGGTTTGTGGGCCACTCCTTGAATGAAAATACTTTGGAGGAGCTTTGAATGCTACGGGTCATGTGAGAGCTGGTCTCATTCCTGTGGCCATCATAACTAATGGGCCTTGTTGGCTTGGCTGTCAGCAGAAGGGTGCCTGCTGGCATGGGCACAGGCACACTGGGAGTCACACACTGCAGTCACAGGTCTGAGGGGTGGCCACAACTCTTGCACCTGTCCCAGGTAGGTGCCCAGTCTCACAGTACACCTCTCTGCAGGGGCAGAAGCGCCTGGTGCTCTCTGAAAGCTGTTCCCGGGACTCAATGAGCAGCCAACCCAGCTGTACAGTCCTGAACTACTCATATGGAGTGAACGCCTGGAAGTCCTGGGTGCAAGCCAAGTATGCAGGAGGAGAGACCAGCAAGGGAGAGGAGCTGCGCTTTGGCCGTAAGTGCCTTGTGTGGATGCAGTGGAGTGGCAGAGACCTCCCAGAAGCTGGATCTCAGGGTGCTGAGGTGCTCCTGACCTTGCAGGCTGTTGTCTGAGGCTGCTGTGCTTGTCTCCGCAGCCAAACCCATGAGGATCAAGGAGGACATCTTAGCCTGCTCAGCAGCTGAGCTCAATTATGGCCTGGCCCAGTTTGTCAAGGAGATAACACGGCCCAACGGGGAGCGCTATGAACCCGACAGCATCTATTACCTTTGCCTTGGCATCCAGCAGGTGAGGGAGGCCTTGCTGCCCTCCACAGACAGACTTGGGGGTCAGAACTGGTAGGGGGAGCTTTTACCCTTCATTCTGCTTCCTGGGGATCCAGAGAGGCTTACTGGACTCACCTTCATTGCCTCATCCCAGGACAGCAGCCCACCTGGTTTGGCCTTTGTTTCCAAGCCCAGAGTGTAGGGTGTCAGCTGTTTCCCAGCCTTACACCCTTCTTGCACATCCTTGAGGAGGGCTGGGAGATCTCCCCAAATTCATTCCCTTCTTCACTGCCAAGTCTCCTGTGTCATGCCCCAAGGTTTTCCTTGCAACTCTCAGAAGTGTCTGCCCTGCAGCTCTGGTGGCACAAGGAAGGGTGCTCTGCATGTGTGCCCTGGGCTCTCTGGGAAGGGTTTGCATTCCAGGTGCTGCTGTGTTTCTCTTGACTGTGTGTTCTGTCCTTTCTAGTACCTGCTCGAGAACAATCGTATGGTGAATATATTTACAGACCTTTACTACCTGACCTTCGTGCAGGAGCTGAACAAGTCCCTGAGCGGCTGGCAACCCACAGTCTTACCAAATAGTACGTGTCTTCTGAGTACCCTCAGTCACCACACATACCCAGTTTGTGCTCCTAGCCTGGGATCCTCTGGTCTGATTGTGTTCCCCCAGCCTCAACCCTCTTTCTTGGCATAGGCAGCACAGTCCCGCTGTGTCTTGGGGTCAGGCTGACCCAAACTGACAGCAGGGCCAGTGTGGTTTACACCTCAGCAGCTTCTGTAGCCCACAGCATAGCTGGGTGCAGAGCACACATGCTTTCTTTCCTGGGACAGTTTGAATCTTTGCAACACTTCACAGTGATGTCTCCACCCTTTGGCAAAGAGGATGCCAACCCAGGGGGCAGACTGGTACATATCTTTGTGTTGCCAGCACATCGGTGAGCCCTGCACACTGTGCTAAGCCTTGGCCAAGGTCACTGTGCTGCTGCCTTTGTGAATGGACTTAGAGCTCTGCAGAGGCTTTTCATGATGCTGTGTTCTGAGGTGCCTTCCCTGCTGTGTCTTGTCAGTCAAAGATCCAGCCTCACCCCTGCATATTGGCTGTCCCAGGCAGAGGCATTTGGCTCAAGATCTGTGTATTTAGGCAGGAGCTGGTTGTGTCTCTCCTGCCTGCTGCTTTTCCTTCATCTCTCACTGAGTGTAGTGGAGCACTGACCTAGGGATCGCTTTATGACCATCTATAGTGATGGGCAATTAGAATTAATTTGAGTTCTTGTCTGGGGTTTGGCTGTGATCTGGGGTGGCTTGTGGCAGAGCCAGCATCTAGTTCTGCTGATGGCTCTGGAGAAGTAACCTTATGGAAAAAAAGATGTTGTGAAGTGTCAGTCTTTCACAGATTTCTGGGCAGGATGAAGGAATTGCCGTAAGGCTGCTGTTGATGTGACTCGATTCTTCCTCTGTGTGTTGCAGACACTGTTTTCTCCCGTGTCGAGGAGGAGCACCTCTGGGAGTGCAAACAGCTGGGTGTTTACTCACCCTTTGTGCTGCTGAACACCCTCATGTTCTTTAACACTAAGTTCTTCGGGCTGCAGACAGCAGAGGAGCACATGCAGCTCTCCTTCACCAACGTGGTGCGCCAGTCCCGCAAGTGCACCACTGCCCGTGGCGTGACAAAGGTGGTGAGCATCCGCTACTACGCTCCTGCCAAGCAGAAGAAAAGCCGAGGTAGGGCCTGAGGGAACATCTCTGTCCCTCCCCCTGCTTCCCCTGTTGGGATACAGCCATGATCCAGCTCTCTTCCCCCTCTGCAGATGGTGGCTCTGGAAAACGGAAGCGTGAGGAGGAGGTACCGATGTTGGAGCAGCGAGAGAACAGGATGAACCCTCTCCGATGCCCAGTCAAGTTCTATGAGTTCTATCTCTCCAAATGGTGAGGCTTTCTCTGGAGAAGGGACATGTGCCATTTTGGGGCCACCACTCAGTTTTAGTGGGACCATGTGGAGTGACTGCTGCTCTCCAAATGTTTGTACATGAACTTGAAGCCTTGCACAAGGTCTGTGCTGCATGTGTAGACCACGGTTGAGAAAATGCTTCTCTCTGGCCTCTTCCACTTCTTGCCTTTCTCCAGACTGGCAGGATTGTGCCATATGAGTCCAGGTGCTTGGGTGGTTAGGGGTTTTGGTCCTGAGCAAGGAGCTGCAGGCTCAGTTTGTGTCGTTATCCTCCTGAGTGATGAGAGGCTGTGGCAAGCCTTCAGCCCCCCTTGCTAACCATGACAGCAGGCCAGGCTGGCTGAGCCCCTGAAGCTGAGAACCCCCAGGTCTGACCTTGCTCTCTCTTTGCAGCCCCGAGAGTCTGCGGAACCGCAACGATGTGTTCTACCTGCAGCCCGAGCGGTCGTGCATCGCCGAGTCCCCGCTGTGGTACTCGGTGATCCCCATGGACCGCAGCATGATGGAGAGCATGCTGAACCGCATCCTGGCCGTCAGGGAGATCTACGAGGAGCACAGTCGGCTCAGCAGCCTGGAGGATGACATGGACTAAGAGCGAGGTGCTGCTGGGCTGGCTGCGCTCCAGCCCTGGACACCCCATCTTCCTGCCTCCCGCTGCAGGGCAGGGGCCGTGCAGCACGGGAGGGGATGGTGCTGCAGCAGTGCTGTCCCTTCATCATTACCAGACTTGGACATCCCATCCTGCTTGTTACAGGCCTCCCTTACATATGTGGCCCTCATGCTCAGCTCTGCCTCCTCCTTTTGGCTGCTGGGTGAACCATCTTTCCCAGGGCCAGTTCCCATGGCACAGGGGTGGCAGAGTCCCTGGGGCACCTGCCCTCACCTTTGTCCCCCTACCCCCAGCCCTGCCACTCCCCCCCTCCTCCCCTGCCCCAGGGCAGGAATCTCACAAGGCAGCAGTGCACCATCAGACCAGTGGCCCCAAAACTTTTACTTCCCTCTTCCTTCATCATTCCCTCATGAGGCTGCAGGTGGTATGGCAGGAACAGTAGCTCTGCTGCTGGGGCAGGATTGTGGTTTCAAGCCAGTGGGGATGGACCACAGGCTACCAGAGAGCCGTAGGGTCAGGGGGAGGGCTTTTTCCCAGGTGTGGGAGAGGTTTAGGTTGGCTTCAGGGAGTGGAGGGAGCTGGCACTGGAACATGAGAGAGAGCCTTGCCATGGGGACACCTCCCTCATGTGCAGCTGAGATGTCTCTCTCAATTAGGTCAGTGTTTCATGAGTTGTCTGAAAACTGATGGAGATGGGTCTGGGTCAGTGCTGCCCCTCTTTCCCCACTGTCCCCTGTCCTGATGTAGGTCCCCTCCCCCATGCAAGGTGCCATCAATGGGAACCTCTGCTCCAGCCAGGGGCTTGGGCAGCTGCTGGCAGAAACAGGGAGCTCTGCCTGGTCTCCCCCTCCCTTCCAAAGCAGCAGGCTGCCACTGCCTTGCCCAGAGCAAGTCTGGCTCCAGCTGTGCCACTCCCTGCTGCCTCCTGCCCCTCCTCGTGTTCTGGTCAGTTTTATTGAGCTGTACATGGGTCTCCTGTTGAGCCTGTATATATTGTTCTGGGCCCTGGCCCGGGGCCATCTGTTCTCTGTGTCCATGTGGAGAGTGAGCCACTCACCAGTCTTGTTGTAGTGATGCCAGGGCAGTAGGAACTAACCCTGTGTCTCTGGAAACCATTCATTTCAAATAAAGATGTGGAAAACTTTTGGCAGCCCCTAGTTTCCCACCCTGGGCGGGGTGAGCATTGCAGGATAGCATGGCCAATGTCCCTCTGCTGCTGTACACCACACTCCTGTCTGTCCCTGCCTGCGCTGCCTGCACTTCCTACCTTGCCAGCTTGGGCATGTTGGGATGGCCCCTGACCCAGTGCCCTCTGGCGCCAGCCTGGCATGCCCTGCCTGTCCCTGCCCTACTTCACCTGACCTGTCACCTGCCCACAGGGCTGCAGCCCAACCCAACCCAACCCAACCCAGCAGTGGCCGTGCCCTGGCCATGCAGTGTGTCTGTAGGATGGACCAGTCAGAGAGCAATGCCATGTGGGCAGAGCAGGAGTCAAGGGAGGTGCAGTGAGTGTTTATTTGCTCCCCCATCCCAGCTTTACTCTCAGCCCTGCTGCTCCCAGGGGTGCTGGGAGCAGCTGAGCCATGTGCCCAGGGCCATGTCCAATTCTCGTGCTGGCCACGGGATCCATGCCACAGGCCTGGCAGGGCCTGGAGACTGAACCACCACTGTGGCCACTAGTGCATCCCCCATCCCTGACCATCCCAGCAGGCCATGTTCACACTGCCAGGTCTGCCGCTCGCATCTCCCCGTGGGACCCACCAGCCACCCCTAGCCACGCTCCCGCCTTCTTCAGGGGTGCCAGGCTGTGGGGGGATCTGCCAGCAGCCAGGGGGCTGCCAACCCTGGGCAGGGTGACATGGGCACTGCGGGGCCCTAAAGGGCCACTGGGAGTGGTTATGATGTGGGACTTGGGGCCTGGCCCCTGCCGGCACTTGGTGAGACCCAGGTAGTAGATCTCCACCAGGTTGAGCAGCAGGGACACGCAGGCCACCCCCAGCATGAAGAGGATGAAGATGGTCTTCTCAGTGGGCCGGGAGATGTAGCAGTTGACAGTGTTGGGGCAGGGCCAGCGGCTGCAGGTGTAGAGGGGCTTCAGCTGGAACCCGTACAAGGTGTACTGGCCCACAATGAAGGCCACTTCCAAGAGAGCCTTGAAGACAACGTTGCAGATGTACGTCCTCAGGATGGCCCCCCGCATGCAGACCCGTCCCCGTGTGTCCCCTGCAGGGAGCTGGGGCTGCCTGGGGCGCGGCCGCCTGGCCCCGCTGCCGGCCCGCGCTGCCACTTGCTGCTGTGCCTTCTCCTCCAGATGTACCAGGTGCAGGATGTGGCCCAGGTACACAAGGCTGGGGGTGGAGACAAAGATGATCTGCAGGACCCAGAAGCGGAGATGGGAGATGGGGAAGGTGCTGTCATAGCAGGCATTCTGGCAGCCGGGCTGCTGCGTGTCGCAGGAGAAGCCAGACAGCTCGTCACCCCAGACCCGCTCAGCGGCTGCCCCCAGCACCAGGATGCGGAAGACGAAGAGGACGGTGAGCCAGACCTTCCCCACCACTGTGGAGTGCTCCTGGGCATTCTCCAGCAGCCGCCCCAGCAGGCTCCAGTCCCCCATGGCACACGCTGCCCTGCAAGACAGCCGCCCTCCAGACACAGCCACCCCATAGCCCACCACACCGCCACCCCATCCCCCAGATGGGCAGGAGTACACAGACCCAACCCAAGGCTGTCCCTGCAGTGTCCCCATCCCAAGGGACCCCCTAACCCATCACAAGGAAGGCAACGGGAGCAAAGGCCTCCAGCAGAAATCTGGGAGCACCAAGGGGATCCCTGGGGACTCCTCACCGTAGGTGGGTGTGTGGGGCAGAGCCCAGTGCTCCCGCGCCGTCGGCTCCTGGGATGCAGGATGCTGCGAGGCCCCTTCCCAGCTGGTCCCCAGCTCCTCAGTGGGTGCGGACAGGTCTGCCTGGCTTCCTCTGTCCGCTCACCCAACAGCAGGCGTGGGGTTATTGGGGCACGAGGCAGCTGCGTGCCCCATTGGCTTTCATTGTGACTGGCACATGGAACAGCCACTGGGGAAACCTTTTCCCTCTATTTTTGGTCTGGGTACTTTTCTAAATATATTTGGGGCTGCAGGGGCTGGTGCTGGGGGAGCACAAGCCCTTGGACACTGCTCAATGCCACCCAGGGGTCACTGCTCCTGAAAGTTATCTGCCAGGGCACCACAGCCCCAGCTCAGCCCGGGCACTGCAGTCTCCACAGCCCCTGGTGCCACCCACAAGGGCTTGGGTGCAGGAGTGGGCACCCCACACTGGCACCCCAGCTCCCGGCATGCCCCGGCCAGAGCAGAAAGGAGGGAGGCAGCACCTGAGAATGGAGATTTAATGGCCCGAGATGCTCTCCTGGCCATCTAGGAGAGCCCGAGTGGTGCCTGAGGAATGCTATCCTTGGGACAGGGACAGCAACAAGGCCGTGGGGTGACTGTGGGGCAGGGTCCCCCACAGTGCTGGCCCTAGCAGGCAGAGCAGCGGTCACCCTTCTCCTGCAGCCCAGAGTTGCGGCGCAGCATGTCCTTGAGGGAACCGTCCTGCTCTGTCAGCAGCTGGTTGATCTCATTCTGCTTGTACTCGGAGGAATGCTTGTGCCCATAGAAGGAGCTCTTCCCCGAAGAGGGGTTGGAGTTGTGCCGGCTCCGGCGGGCACAGGCCCGCACCACCAGGTAGACCAGCTCTGCCATATTGAGGACGATGCAGATGCTGGAGGTGACCAGCATGAAGACAGTGAAGATGGTCTTCTCAGTGGGCCGGGAGATGAAGCAGTCAACAGTGTTGGGGCAGGGATAAGCCTCGCACTTGACCAGCCGCATCATCTGGTAGCCCGGGTAGAGCATGTAGAAGATGTACATGAACACAGCCTCGAAGAGCAGCCTGAAGACCACGCTGCAGACGTACGTCCACCACAGCGAACCCGAGATGCGCATCTTGTGCTTCTTCACCTCTTCCATGTGCTTGGCATCCCCGTGCCCCGTCAGCAGCAGCAGCTTCTTCTCCTGGTGCTGCTGGTAGGCCACGTGCATGGCTACGAGAAGGGCCGGTGTGGTGACAAGGATGAGCTGCAGGGCCCACAGACGGATGTGGGAGATGGGGAAGAAGTGGTCGTAGCAGACGCTGTTGCAGCCAGGCTGCTGGGTGTTGCAGGTGAAGGCGGATTTCTCATCCCCCCAGACACTCTCAGCTGCCACCACCAGCACCATTATCCGGAAGATGAAGATGACGGAGAGCCAGATGCGGCCGATGGCAGTGGAATGGCGGTTCACCCCGCTCAGGACCGTGTAGAGCCCGGCCCAGTTCATTGTTTCTCACGTCTGCAGGAGAGAGCGGGGAGAGACGGTGTTAGGAGCAGGAAGGGCCCCTGGCTGAGAGCCACCATGTCCTGGCCCCGGTGGCAGCAACCCTTGGAGCAACTGGCAACAGCCCTGGGAGCAACTGGCTGTCACAGCCCTGGCAGGTGGACAGCAGGATGGACAGAGAGCAGGATGGCAGAGTGGCTCCTGCTGCTGACAGGGCTCAAGGCAGCATTTTGACCAGACCAGGCAGGAGACCGTCTGGCCCTGCAGTGCCAGCTGCTCCTGCCCTGCCACCCCACGCTGGTACAGGGATCCTAACCCACAGCTGCCACCGAGGATGGCGGTGAAGATCCCACACTTCCACAGGGACCCCCAGTCTGCACCCAGTGCTGCGTTCTTAGGCTAGGAATGGACCCAAGGAGCTCCATGGGCTCCTCTGCACCAGCACATCCCTTCCCTTGTCACCCCACTCCCTGTGGGAGCAGGGCCAGGGAACCCCCTATGCAGCCACACATTGTCACCCTCCCAGAACCATCCCTGCCTGGGGAGCATGAAGTGACCCCGCACTCCAAGCACAGATCCCTGCCCCACCAGAGCCTCCCACTGGCACTGAGCAGCCCCGGGAGCTGCTTCCCTCCCCAGCATGAGGCGGCGGGACTGGAACGTGCCCTCCAGCCACCCCTGGTGTGTAGAGTCACGTCAACGCGTACCTGCTGGTGAGAAAGGGTCCTCGCAAGCTGCCCCCAGTGGCCCCTCTAAGGTCTCATGCCTCCCGCAGGAGAGCTCTGCTCCGCCTGCCCTCGTCTCTCTCTGCCACTGCCCTGCACTGGAAGTCATATGCTGCTTTATAAACTATTTACATACAATGGGGCCTTTATTGGCCCCTGAACAACACACTTTAGCATTCAGATCTAACGCCCTGACTTCCGCCCACCCTGGCCCAACAAAGTGCCTGTGTGCTGCATTCTCTCTGCTCAGCCCCGCACCCACTCCCACCTCCCCACCACACCCCGACCACAGGGTGCCCATGGCACAGACCACGCCACAGACATCTCTGGGCTGTGCTGGCGACCCAGGCTGTCTGGAGGTCCCTTCCCTTCCCCAGGATGCACAGCAGAGCCCAGTCGCGTGCCCATCCCGCATGGACAGCACAGGGCTGTGACTGGAGCAGGGGTCTGGCACTGAGCACTCCGTGGGCACCCGTGGGACTGGGTGCTGCTGCTGTGAGTCCTGCTGTGCCCTCAAGGCTCTGCTGCCGGGGGGTTGGTGCTGACAGCAACGGCTGTGAGGGCATTGGAACTGCCCTGCATGTGCCCTGTCCTGTTGGGGACATGGGAAAGAGTCTGCTGGAGTGACGCAGGCTGTGTGCTGGAAGAGGCTGCCCTCAGTGCTGAGCACTGTAGGGGCTCTGCTTCTCTTCCAAGATGGGCCCACTGACACTGTTCTACTGTTTGGACATGCTGGTGGGGGCAACAGTCCCTGTGCTCACACCCCACCCCATGCCCCTCAGGGTTGGTGTCCCAGCCACACCACCACACTGTGTCCCATTCCTGCAGAGATGGGGCCACGTCCCTTGGGGTTTGTCGCCAGCCTCCGGTGTGGGGCAGCACATCCAGTAAACCCTGACAGCTGGGGGCTGCAGGTTGGTAGGGCAACAGTGCCATCCCAAATGCCACCTCCTCCCCTCTGCCCGGGGTGTGAGTGCCTGGAGCTGTGCAAACAGTAGCACGCAAAGAACCTCCAGCAAAACTATGGGGAGGGCAACCAATGCCCACACTCTGCCCCTTGCCCAGCTCCCCCCATTGGGGCCAGCACCACCAGCTCTGCCCTCCTTGGCCCATGGCCGAGCCCCTCTGTGACTCCCCACCCTGGCCCCTGTGGTGCTGCCCAGCTGGGGGGTATGTAGCCACCACCCCCTCCCCGCCAGTAGTACTGTGCCCTCCGGCTTCTCACCTCAGCACCAGGAGAAACAAAGTTCTGGGGATTGCAGCAGACTCACGCTGCAACAAAGCCCTGGACTTTATACTGCCCTCCAGCACTTCACCCACCCCCCTCCCAAACAGCCTTGCTTTCCAGGACTTGCTCTGCCTGGCCCTGCCAAGTAAACACTGCAGGTGTGTCCAGCCTGGACTCACCCTCACCAGCACCAACCATGGAGCTGAGCATCCCCCCAGCTGAGCATCCCCTGGGGACAACTCAGGGGTCACTGCAGCACCGAGGCAGGGCCAGCCCCCCCCCAAGGATGGTCCTGTGGGAGCTCTCTGGTCCTCCTGGCCACACTCCCCCTACTTCAAGCATCCTCTCTGCCACATTCCCTGCAGGCCAGGCACATATACCATGCCAGAGCCCTGCTCGCCATTCCAGGAGACAACTCTGGGTACTCCCAGCTCCCAGGACAAATTGATCTGCTTTCGCAGGGTACCATCTGGTCCCTGGGGAGCCACCAATACCCAGATTTAATGTTTACAACTGCAGCCGACAAAGGCAAACAGCCTGTAAACGATTAACCCAACCGACCCGCTTCAAGGTCCCGCCGCCCAGCACCCTGCGCGGGACACGGCGACCCTGCCCCTCATGCTGGGGCCCTGGGTGGGCTTCAGGAGCCTGTGCTGCACCCCATCCCCTGCGTGAGGGTGACAGCGGTGCCGGCATCCCCCGCACGAGGACGGCAGGGTGGCACCGTGGGGCGGCCGAGGGGAGACAAGTGATGTCCCCCCAGCGGGGCGGGGGGCGGTGGGCAGTGGGCAGGGAGGTGCCGGGGGGGCCGGGGGCACGGGGTGGGTGGGGCCGCAATCTCGGCCTCTGATAAACCGCCGACGGCTGAGTCAGTCAGAGCCCGGCGGGGAGCGGGAGCCGCCGTTTCGCGGCACCGCCCTGGCCCCGGGGCACGCCGAGGGACCGGGGGGGCCCTCACTGAGGGGGCGTACTGGGGGGTGACGGGGGGCAGACTTGGGCGGGGAATGTGGAGAAGGGGCTAGTGGGGCCAGGCTGGGAGGATCAGGCTCGGTGGGGGGCACGGGGGAGGTGTCGACGGGGACGGACTGGTGGGCACTGGAGGATTTGTGGGACGGGCTAAGTGGGACGAAGCACAAGGAGTCTCCTGGAGGCGGGTTGGGGCGGGTGGGGGAGCACTGGGAGCCAGGCTGGGGGTCACTGGGGGGCACTGGGAGCCAAGCTGGGGATCACTGCGGGTCACTGGAAGTCACTGGGAGCCAGGCTATGGGTCACTAGGGGCCTCCGGGGGGCTACTGGAAGCCAAGTAGGGGGCAGTGGGGGCACTGGGAGCCAGGCGAGGGTCCCTGGGGGGTCCGGGCAGTGCGGGAGGGGGGTGGTCGCCGGCGGTGGCACCAGGTGGCGCTGCGGGGCCGGGCCGGGGGCGAAGGGGCCGCACCTGCCCGCGGCAGCACCCGGCGGGGCTCAGCGTGGGAATCCTTCTGAAAATATAATAAAATTAGAGAAAGAAAACAGAAAAGAGGGAGGAGGAGCCCGGGGCGTTGCTGTCCAGCCCGGTGCCCGCCCTCTGTCTTGGCCGGGAGTTGGTGGGAGGACCAGGAGCCCCAGGGATGGGCGGGAGCACGGGCAGCCCCCTCGCCTGTTTGCCGTAGGTAAAGCTGTTGTGCAAGAGCCAGCGGTCAGGAACAGGCTGTACTAAGCAGCCGTGGCCGACGCTGCCTCCAGTACGCAGAAAACTACCCCATCCACGACCACGCGGACCGGAAACGCTCTCTTTGTTAATGACGTTAATTGTGAACTTAATTAGGCGTCTGAAGTTGCAGCGAAGAGGTCAAAGACGTGGGCTCGTCGAACACAGAGAAGCTGATGAGATGGGCAGGACCGAGCCAACATCCGGATGGCGGGACCAGGGTGACGCAGACATTGGCACACTGCTGGGGTCAGAGATCTTGCAGCCCAGCAGTTTCACTGGTATGATGGAGGAAATCAAGCTCAACCATCACTGAAACACCTCTGCTGTCAGGAGGAAAAGAACAGGCTTTCAGAGTCCCCTTTCCCCAGCCATCCTGCCCTGGGAAGGGTTGGCCCTATGAATAGCTCAGCCTCATCACTGGGTGACCACTGCAGTGCAGAGGCCTCTAGGCTTCCAGTCTTGGACTGACAGCAGCACAGGCATCCCTGGATCCAGGCTGCTGCTCTCAGAGAGACAAAACCCTCTGGTCTGAGTCAACTGCCAGGAAGGTCACTGGCAGTGGGTGAGCACAGAAATCCTTTGTGCTGCTGCAGCACGGGGCAGAGGGGGTTGCAGTATACGACGTAACAGCTTGTCCTGACTGCCTGTGAGTCTGCTGTCCTGTGTCCTGGGTGCATCAGGGGTGAGGGGAACAGGACCAGGATGTTGCCCCAGTGATGCTACTGTGCAGAGCAGCATCCTTTCCCTCCTGCTGACTGTGGATCCTGGAGCAGCCAGGGGCCATGCGCGGGTTGTTCATCCCCTCACCATAGCCGGGACACCTTTGCAGTTGAGTTCTCTTACTTCTTTTTGCAGCACTAAATATGTCCCCTGAAGCAGAGGATGTCCCACAATTGTCACACAGATGTTAACTGCACATGCCCTCTGGGATACAGTGTCCCTTGGGCTTTGCCCGGTCTCCAAAGAAAAGCTCTTGATGGTCAAGGACACCCTGGACAGATGGCAGCCTCGGGACTTTTGCAAAGGCAAACATAATAGCAACCCGTGTTGTCTGTCACCAGCTTGCCTTGGGGTCCCAGCTGGGTTGGCCATGCTGGCATGTGTGGTTGCAGACAGCAGGGGCCACGCAAGGATGAGGAGAGGGGACAGGAGGGCAGAGCAAACCCCTAATTTGGGGCAGAAAGGTATCACCCCTTCAAGAGGGCACTAGGCACCACAGAATGGGCAGCTGGTGGTGTCACCAGGATGGGCCTCTGGCCACCAGGCAGGGCTGACCCCGCTGTTCACCCCGCAGCAAGGTGGCTGCTGTTGGAGCTGTGCTGTGGAGCACCTGCATTTCCATGGAAACCTCTCCCCATGGTCTGATGTTGGTCACTAAACAGGGGCAACTAGTGGCTGCAATGGAGGGCCTTGGTTTTGCAGTCCTGGGGCTGCTGGGTGGGTTGGGCCAGAGGGGTCAGTGGTTGGGGCAACTCTGAATAGGGCTGTGGGTCACAGTTCAGGGTGGTTCATGGGTGGGCAGTTTCCCTCACCCAGAGAGCAGGGGCAACTCTGCCTGTTGGCATGGAAAAGCCCAGGGGAAGGCATCCCCCTGCCCTGGGCAAGAGCCCCATCAGCCCATTGGAGTCCCCTTGGCTCTATTGCAACGTGTCCCAGGCATTCCACAGCATCCCTGCCCCTGACAGCACAGCATGGCATGCTGCCTGCCTATGGCACTTTTCCCACACTCTTCATCTGCCCCATGGCAAGGGACCTGCCTCAATCCCAGACTAATGCCCCCAGGCCATGCCCACCCTGCTGCACCTCCAGCACACAGGGCACAGGGTGGCAGGGGGTGCAGGACCTCCACAATGGGCAGCACCAGTGGTCATAGGGGGGTCCAGCACAGGGTCTGGAGCACGGTGCTGAACAGGGTGATGTGCCAGTGGCACAGCAGCGCCAAGGGTACCCCGGGAGAGCAGAGCAGAGCTCCTCACCCAGCTCCCCGCACAGCCCGTCCCCCTGCCTGCCCCCGGCTCCCCTGGCTCGGGGCCTCGGCCCTGGCTCCACTGTCTGCACGCTGCCTGGAGGCGATTCGGCCCCCCCTCCCCGTGCCTGGTTTCCATGGCAACTCCAGTTGAAATTACATTAAAAAGAAATGAAACCAGCAGCTTTTCTGTTTGGCAAGTAGGGGGAGGGGAGCTCCCCAGCAAGACTGGGGAGGAGGTGCGAAGGTTGGAGGGAGGGGGCTGTGGCACAGATGAGATCCCACATGGGGCCCCTGTGCTGGCGGTGGGGGCAGCAGGGTGGGGATATGGGGTGACACTCCCCCCTCTGTGGCACTTGGTGTTGGCAATTCTGGATCGTATTGTGCTGGCTTAATGTGTGCTGAACTGGGGGTCCAGCACCTCAACATGGGTAGGTGATACCGGGATCTTCCTGCTGCCTCCGTGGGGTGGGTGCCGGGGACATGGAGACCATCCAGACCCTCTGCCAGCAGGCACAGCCATGGCTGGGATGGCTCTAAGCCAGCACAGGGTACCCCACCCAGCCTGGGAGTCCCTGGCCCTTGCACACTCCAAGAAGAGGCAAGACACACCGCTATTAAAAATATCACTTCTGTTTTATTTGGAATTTGTTACTCTGCGCGGGTGACAGGGTATAAATACATTCTCCAACGAGCATCCTCACCCTCAGCCCTGTGCGGGGCGGGGGCTGGGGCAGGGTGCAGGGCTGTGGATGCTCTGGCCCCAGGCAGCAGGGCCAGCAGGGCCATCGATGGGCTGGCCCCAGGCAGCAGGGCCAGCAGGGCCAGCCGGCACCGGTGCGTCACGGCCGCCAGCATGGGCAGCGTCTGCCAGCCGGACCGTCTTGCACAGGGACAAGATATGGTGTCCCCACAAGGACCTGTCCCTTTCTCCTGCCTCCCCAGGTGCCAGTGCTCATCGTGGGGGGCTGAGACTGGGGTGCCCCACGTGGGATCCCATGTTGCTTCTTCTCCATGCCCGACTGCACCAAAGCCACTCGCCTTGAGCCACATGAGTGGTTCAGTGGCCACATCAGCCCAGTGGGTGCCCCAGCCCTGGCACAGGTGCTCCCAGCACCATGCAGGCTGCATCACCCCCAAAGTCCCTGCCTAGGCATCTATCCCAGCTGCACGTCCCAGATGCCAGAGCTGGGGTCACCCCATGGTGGGGTAAAGGCCCCAGTGGAAGTAACATGGGAGGCAGAGTCGATGTTGGAAAGCAGCTCACTCTGCTCCTGTCACCCCACCCCTGACACAAGCTGCAAACCACTGCTTTTGGGCAGCGGCACGGGCAGGGAGGGCACAGCACGTCCCTGGGGCAGTGGTGAAGGGATGTGGGATGCTCCTGGGGGAGCAGGGCAGGCCTGGGGCAGTGCTCCTGGGTTCATGGGGGTGAACAGACATTGCTCAGAGCAGGTGATGCCCACGTGGGGCAGTGGGTGGCACTTGGCCAGTGGTGGCAGTGGAGGGACCGGGGCGGAGGTGCTCGCAGGCAGGCCGTTGGATAGGCTATTTGGCTGAGATAGGTGGGCACGGGTGACAGAGGAGGGAAAATATCAAAAAATACAAAAGAGCGCGGCCCCGCAGCGCAGGAGGCACTGCCCTGCCTGGTGCCCACCCACGGCAGGCGGGCACCATGGGGGGCCGGCACCGTGCGCACACGCTGGCTTCTAACTGGCTTTTTATTTTATATCAAGAACACTTGGTTTTAAAATCTTTACAAAGGACAAAACGCGGCGACTCCGTTAGTGTGTAAAGAACTAAAGATCTGCTTTAAAAAACGTCTCTGCAAAGAGAAATGACTGACACAAAAGAGATTCTCTGCAGCGCAAAGAGGGGCAGAGGTGCCAAGTCTCCAGCCCAGGGCCCCACTCCCAGGGTCCCTGAGCCCCGGCACCGGCCCCAGCGCCTGCACCCAGCACACGGCCAGGTCCCCATTCCCTCTGCCTATAGCACCATGGCCCAGGGCCACTTCTCAGCACAGTGAAGAAGCCTTTTCCAGGGCTGCCAAGCTGCCTGGGGATGCCTGGGCACTGGCCGAGAGGGATGCCCAGTCCCACTCCTCGTCAGTCCCAGGGTGCTCAGTGGGCTTAGCGCTGGGGATGTGATCGCCCCACTGGGAGGCACAGCCACAGCACGGGGAGCCCCATGGCCATTGACAGGGGTTACACTGCGTCCCCCCTGCACCGCACTGGCGTCCCGGGGCAACCCGTGGGGCCCTGAGGCCAGGAGAGTCAAAGCACTTCTCAAAAGTTAGATAGGAACAAAAGAAAGCGCCGGGGCCACACCGGGACCCCACAGGTCTCTGGGCTGGGAGCTGCCCGTCCGTGGGTGCTGCCCCTCCGTCCGGGGGCTCTGCCGGCCCCGCCGCTCCCTCTGCCAGTGTCTGCTGCGTGTGTGTGCGTGCGTGCATGCGTGTGCGCCGGCGGCGGGCAGCTATACCCTGGTGGTGGAGTGTGAGTGCGGGAGCCCCGTGCTGTTGAAGCCGGCAGTGAAGGTGTTGTAGGGGTGCAGGGTCTGCAGCCCCACCAGCGAGTTGGGGATCATGGTGATGGTGTTGGGGGTCATAAGCGGGATGTCGTCCGGCGAGCGGCGCAAGGTGAGGGTGTAGTCGGGCAGAGCAGCCAGGCGCAGGGTGTCGTGGGACGGCACAGCTTCGCACTCGTGGTGCCCCTGGCTCACCTGCAAGGAGGGCATCTCCTCATCAGGTGCGTGGGCGATGTCGTTGGCGGCGCCACGCTGGGGGCTGGGCTGCCGGTGTGTGTCCTGCCGGCGCTTGTCCTTGCGGTAGTAGAGGGCGGCGAAGGCCAGCACATTGAGGAAGAGGAGGGAGGCGCCCACGGCGATGGTGACGCTCAGTTCAGTGGAGTAGTCACGGGGGCTCTCGAGCAGGGTGCCCGCCTCTTGCTCTGGGCTCCACTTCTCCTTCCCGTTCTCGCTGTTGTAGGCGGGGGAGATGGCGGGGCGCTTGGTGGTCCAGATCTTGCTGTTGGGCCGGCGGGTGATGTGGGAGTTCTGCGTGGTGTCAGGTGGTGGCACTTTGGTGGTGGTGGAGGTGTAGTGGAACATATCGTGCAGGTTGTACAGGTGGGGAACCAGGTGCTTCCAGAAAGCCACCTTGGTGGCCCGGTAGTGGTCACGTACCCGTGGCTTCAGCCCAATGTGCAGGTACAGCTGGTCGCGGGGGTTGTACTTGGACCAGGCAACCTCCTCAAAGCGATTGGCCTTGGTGTGGATGAACTTGGTGTCCTGGGGGACGGGCTTGTTGGGGTCCCTGTGAAACACAGGCAGAAAAGAACTAGCACTGGGAAAAGCCAAAGATGCAAGGAGGGAAAGCTGGGTGCAGAGATGGAGGCTGGGGACGCCTTTGCCAGTGGTGGCACAGGGTGTGCTGGCAAAAGGTCCTGCATGGGGCAGCACCCCAACCCTGGGTCAAGCCTCACCCATGACAGCCACAGCCAACCAGCCTCCCCACCCCTGTGTTCGGCTGGGTCCTGTCCCAGAGAGTGCCCATGCTCTAAGCTTCTTGCTTTGTGGTTGAGGCCATGACCCCAGTGAAGGTGCAGCACACAGAACTCTGGGCTCAGAGGGTTCAGTGTCCCACATCAGGTATGACAACCCCCCCGTCACCACAGCACGGTCTTGAGGGGTACAGCTGCAGTGACTGCAGACCCCCAAGGCACAGCACCCATCCCCACTCACCCTGTCTTGGCAAAGTTGGTCCAGTAGGTCATCACCACGGCGCTGAGCATGACGTCGTTCTTGGAGAAGTTGCAGGGAAAGAGGTCTGTGGGGCCAATCATGGGGATCCCAAACACGTAAGGCACCTCATCCCCGTGGGCTGCGTCCGACCACGCAGGTTTCATCAGGCTCTGGCAGTGGTGGTAGAAGGCGTAGAAGTAGGTGGGGGAACCGTAGCGGGCGTGCAGGTCAGCTGTCACCACTGATGGCTCTACCCACTGGTGGTCAGTGAAGAGGGCCACCAGAGTCTTGCGACGTGTCTCGGGGTTGTCCCGGTCGGCCCAGTCTGTGTACATGAACTTAATGGTCTCCCTCAAGGTGTCCTTGCCCTCTGGGTATCCGTACAGGTTGTCCACAAAGTTTGAGACTGAGTAGTCAAAGTCACTGCCCGAGACGCCATCCTCAGGGTCCACCACACCCTCCACGAACTTCAGCCCCTCACCCTGGTTGACCCCCAGCATGATATCATAGTTGAGGAACTCGCCCTGCTCCATCAGGATCTCTGGGTCATCCGGGATCACATCCCCGTCAATGACCGGCCCGAAGGCCACATGGTAGCGAGCCGGCTGGATGTCTTGCTCTACCAGCTCCTTGGCACTCTTCTGCCGCAGGCAGTCCACCATGTCCACCGTGTCCAGCACATTGCAGCCCACCTTGTCAGCCAGCATGCTGGTGTACTTCACGGGCTGGTAGTTCACCGCCCAGCTGGAGAGTGCGGAGCCGCTCTGGATGATGGCCCTCTGGAAGAGACCTGCAATACAGGCAAGGAGTGGAGGAAGCTCTAAGCAGGGTTCCAACACCCCAGCGCTGCAGCGCAGGATGCAGCGTGGAGAAGGCATTGATGCTCTTGTATCCCTGCAAGGACCCAGCACTTCAGCCCACACCTGGCCTTGACCTGGGCTTTGCTGCTGAGCCAGGCTCACACAGGGGTTCAGCTCAGGGCCACTGCGAGGGTGGCAGGGTGAAAGCTGGGCATGCAAGTGGGGGGGTGCTCCTGGCAGCAAGCAAGGGCTCCTGTGCTCCCTGAGGATCCCATTGCAGGGGATGGCCCAGTATCTTTGGTGGATGGAGAAGAGGAGCCATGGCTGCATCACAGCCTGGCCTTGCTGAGCAGCCCGTGCCGCCCCAGCCACCCCAAGGACATGTTGCCCAAGCCCCCGAGGGGCACACACTGTCCCTGGTTCAGCACCATCCTCCAGCCCAGGTTGGCACCTGCTTCACTGAGCAGCCAGGCTGCGGGCTGGCAGCAGTGGGAGGGTTAATGCCTGCTCGAGGGCACTTAACCCTGCGTGTCCCACCCCAGTGCTTTGTCAGAGTCCCCCTCGACCCCCTCCCTGCTGCTTCCTGCCCAGCTGGGGCTGCTCAGTGCCAATCCGGCCCTGCAGGAGCACGCTGCCAGA